TCAGTTCAGTTAATTAAATAACTGAGTAAAGTCATTTCCTTATAAAACAAGTTCAAACTAATGTTATTAAAGAATATTTGGTGTCCAGCTAAACAAGCCAAAGGCAACAATGGCAAGGTAACCAAATTTCATCAAAAAAGAAAAAAAAATATTGTGAGAAACCAGCCTAGTCGGGTGAGCAGTTCTTCTCTGGCCCACACAAATAAACATTTATTAGAAGCAGCGTATATTCAAACATTAATGCCTCTGTTATTACAGCAAATGGGTGCAAACCAAAAACCAGTTCTAAATTTAATGAAAAAGTAAAGAAAAAACTTAAAAAAAAAAAAAGTGAAGAAGTCTTACTTTTGACCTGTGTATAATGAAGAACCTTTAAGACATTATGCACAGCAAATATCTGAGATTTCTAATCCAGCTTTAAATAGACTTGATGGTGCTTCTCGTTCATTCTGGGATCTAAATTTACATTCCAGGTCAAATTGTCAATCTAGCTCATGTTTGGATCTCAATGGTTTTAGCACAGATCAGTTTAGAGTTACATAATCTTCAAGTGATTATTTTTGGCCTGGGGTCAAAGAGGTTGGACTTAATCCAGATCTTGACAACTACTCCTACACCAACTAGTATCACCTCTTGTTTTTCCCACTCCAAAATGAAAGTGACGGACAGCTACTGTGACTGCTATTAAGGCTGTGACTGCAGCACATTTAACACATGCATAATCAGTGGTTTGTTAATTATTGCTATTAATCTGGCAACCTGGTGGTAATTTTCTTTTATCAGAGAAACCTTACATTTTTAGCCATGCAGTGACCAAACCTTCGTTAGATGAAAGTAACAAATGACTGAACTGATCTTTGGTGGTGGACATGTTTTATGGAAAAAGATATTCGGTGTTCATCACTTTAGTGATAAAAGCAAATCAAATTTATTTGGGTCAGGTAATAATAATAATAATAATAATAATAATAATAATTAATTACATTTATATAGCGCTTTCTGGGCACTCAAAGCACTTAAACCATTGGGTGGGAGGGGTGGGAGTGGGGGGATGGGTGGTCCTCCTCATCCACCACCAGTGTGCAGCCATTTTGCACCAGACCGCACACCACACACCAGCTGATTGGTGGAGAGGAGACAGAGTGATGAAGCCAATTAGGATATGGGGATGATTAGGAGGCCATGATGGACAGAGGCCAGTGGGCAGATTTGGCCAGGATGCCAGGGTTAAACCCCTACTCTTTTTCGAAGGACATCCTTTGGGATTTTTAATGACCACAGAGAGTCAGAACCTTGGTTTAACATCTCATCCGAAAGACGGCGCTTACTGAGGGGTAAGGGGTCCCATTAGGACCCACACAGACCACAGGTTGGGCGCCCCCTGCTGGCCTCACTAACACCACTTCCGGCAGCAACCTAGCTTTCTCATGTGGTCTCCCATCCAGGTAGTGACCAGGCGCAGCCCTGCTTAGCTTCAGTGGGCGACCATGTGAGAGTTGCAGAGAGCTAGTTGCTGGCAATATTTTCATCCTCAAATTGGAGGAAAATCTAATATTGCCCCTTTTGCTGTTAAATAGTGAGGAAGCAACCACTTGTAGTGATGCCTGAAACCATATTGAACATTTTAAAGAGAATTCGATCCATCCCACAATGCACCACATTAACAAGTATACAACCTATGTATACCAACCCATAATACACTAATAGTTCACACGCCAAAAAAAATTTCCACATCTGACCCCAAGATGGCATCCATAGGGGAATCCTATTGGTAAAGTTTATAAATAAATTGTTATTAAATTTAAGTACTGTTTGAATACATGACAGGAATCGAAATACTTTGATAGTTTTATCACTAATAGACAGCTAGCTATTAGGTGTTAAAAAAATACAAAGCTCTGTTGTGGAACTCTATGCGTGCCCAGTCTGATAGGTCATGCCTAATCTGCTCCGACATAATCAACTACAGTTTATGCTGCACGTGACTGGTTGCTGTCACCTCAGCAGCCAATCAGCTTGTTACTTAAACTTTTAAATGCATCCCTCATACCAAAATATTTTTGGCCCAGGTCTGGCCCACACAATCAGCTTTTGCTTGGCCCACATGCCGCAGTGAATTACAGTACATGACTGGACCAAGTTTTCCAGACAAGGGCCAAACATGGACCATATCTGGGCCAAGTCTCAGCCAAGTTTATATGCAATGAAATTGACAGCGATGAAATTAATAAACCCATGAATCATTGAGCTTTGGGAGCACTATGGGCGTGCTTTTTCTTAAAGCAACCTGATAGAATTTTTTTCTTTATTTAAAAATAGTAAAAAATTATTTTAAATGCCAGTCAAGATTTAGGGCAAAACTTGCATGGTCCACATATCAATTATTAACATCTGAGCCAAATATTGCGCGCCACCTTAAATACAATGCCACCACTGATAGACTAGGGCCATGTTTGGCCCACATGCTGTATGCCAGTGCCAGATAAATGCCTGCTGTGCCAGATTTATGCCAAATCTAGGCCAGAATTCTTTGCTACCCAGGATCAGTGATGTTTTACCCTGAGAATATGCACCACATTTTTGATCACAGAATAACCTTGTCTAAAATACATTTCACAACCAAAGTGAGAAGAGACATGACAACAATGCGAGGTTACATAATATATCTTTCATTATTAACTACATAATGAAAAAAAGAAGGCTTTAGCTTTAGAAACATGTGTTGCTCACCTGGCTTTTGAAGAGAATTAACAATCTATCCTCAACTTTATTTACTTTTCGACCAGATTGTGATTTTGATCAGATGACACGTCAAATAGACACAGTGCTCCTCCTAAATTTACACTAGTTTTTCCTCCATTTCTTTGGTCCAAGTCGGTTAAAAATAAGCGATTTTAACTTCTCCCGCAGCCTTCCGCTGGTCTGTAGATACCTATACTAGCTCATTGGCTGTAAGTGATTGCTGATGTTATTTTCAGTCAGAACTCATTTCACACGGCATGATTTAAATAACCGACAGCTCCAGATATTTAGCAAGCCAAATATCTCACGGTTGTCGGTGATTCTCTCATATTGCGTCCTTGATTGTTCATGCTGTGAGATTGTTACTCGCATAAACGAGCACTGATTAGCCAGTGATTTTTGGCATTTGTCGTCAATTTCTCAAAACCTGTTGGTGAGTCAGAATCAGGGCTAAAAACATGCTGTTGGAACTCGGCATTAGGTTAAAATGATCATGCCATCAATTAGGTGCAATTTGATATCTCGGTGCATTGACAATGTTTTCCATAAACAATTTTATATTTTACTATTTTATCTGTATTTGTGCATCAAACAAAACACATGCACAGAACATTTGAAGCATTTAAAGCAAATAAACAAACGTAAATAATATTCCACTTGCTATTTGAGCATTATCGAGCGAGTTGGAAAACACCTTGGATTGGTCAGGCGCTCAACAGAAAGGACTGCGATTGGCTCTAAGGCGCTATCGCTGACGCTGATAAAAAGCAGCGGGAATCACAGCTGATCCATGATAGAAGCCAGGGGCGGACTGGGACAAAAATTCAGCCCTGGCACTGTTGCCACACCAGCCCACATTACCACACCGACACAGCCCCACCCACAGACACACACATTCACTATTTATTTAGGTGTAAAGAGGGTGAAATAATATGACATTCTTGCCAGATTTTGATTATGTCCGGGTAACCTTGGATTGGGTCGGCCCATCTTGAAACCAGGCGGCAGTTGCCGATTGGGCCAAATGCTTAACATTTATTATTATTATTATTTTTATTATCATCATCATAATATCACATCTAGCAAGAGATAAAAGCTGTCTGCACTTAAAAACAATACATATTAAAAAAAAAACTGACCGGCCCACACGTAAAAATTGGTCCGGCCCTTCTGGCATTTGCCAGAATTGCCAGATGGCCAGTCCGCCCCTGATAGAAGCTGTGGGGAAAACTCACTCTGCAGACACGTTCATGACTGGATCCACAAGTATCGCTATAACAGCCGAAAGGAGAGGAAACGTCACGCCAGCAGCTCAAAGGACCACAGTAACGCCCCATTCACACGGGGCTTCATCGTCAATGATTGACTGAAGGCGTGTCTGAAGTTGGGGCTGAAGCGATCGTCATGGAAGCATTAGCCAATGAAATTCAGTCAGCAATAGGCCACTGTCTAGCTGGTGTATTTGCATATACAGTGATCTGATTTGCTGACGCTTCCGTCGGCACTTGAAAAGTTGAGCTAGTCCCAACTTCTGCAGCGAGCAATGCCTCTGAAGCGGCGCCAATGGATCCACAATGCAGTTCGGCAATGCCTGACGTCACCCATTCAAAGTGAATGGGAAGCATTGATGCTGAAGCCCTGTGTGAATGGGGTGTAAGAGAGCAAGAGATAAATGGACTTTCATTTTGTCTACAGCAGTGAAACAGGGCTTCTGCTGTCACTTTAGTGTCAGTGAATGACTGTCTAGCAAACACACACCGTGAATTGTGCGTGTGTGTGTGTTTCTGTGTTTTAATAACTTGTGCTCACCTCCTTCACCATAGTATTCTACTGCGACAGCGCATTTGAGATAAATTACATCAGTTGAGTTACGCAATAACCGGTTAAGATCTATTAATGAACCAATTCCGAATTGTCCACATTTGCATCATGGTGCACCGAAGAAACAATTAATTTTGACACCCTATTCTCTTGTCAACAACTAAAGCAGTTCCTTGAAGCTTAAAACAGAGACATAATGAAATGGTAGCCCAGAGTCCCGATCTAAACCTGATTAAAAATCTCTGGAAAGTCATTTGTGACAAAATTATGGCTAAGTAACTCTCTGCAGTTAGTGAACTTGAAAAGACAGGAAGAAGAGTAGACCACATGGGAACCTTAAGAAAGCTAACAAAATCTGATGTCTTCTTATTGAACACCTTATGAAAGCCTGTATTAGGGTTCCATGCAAAACACTGAAAAAATATCAACAACAAAGGTACAAAACAACAAAACTTTAATTAACACAAAGCCCTGATTCCTCTTCCCCATTCAGTCTACGAAACATCCTTTGTGTGGGATGTGACATTCCTCTTCATATTCAACAGAAAAAAATAAGTTTGTAAGAACATTAGATGCCGAAGTCAATATGAATACAGAAACACACTAAAAAAAATAATATTGACCAGTGAGGGGAAAAATAGTTCAGCAGTCTGAGCAACTCAGAGATGGATCGTCTTTTTCAGTTTTTCAGAATAAATGTATTTGAGTATGAACTGCTGGTTCAGTCAAGCAAAACCATCTTCTATCAAAACAGTATTGGAATGCACAGGCAATGACGCTGAAAAGCACAACAAAACCAAACATTTGCTTATAATGGTCTCGCTCTTCGAAAATTAACAGGCATGTCAAGCATCAGTGTTTCAAATCCAAAAACAATGACAAATGATTATTTTGGCAGTTTAAGTCAGGTAACAGCTTCTAAAAAGTTGCATTAGTTTGATAACGGAGGGTTAACAATTCCTTGGCATGTTGATATTTTCACTCAATAAATTCCTAAAAGAGAAAGGATATCAAAAAAGCTTTTGTTTTTGAGAAAACTGAGCACCTTGCATAACGTGACAGCGTCGTGATGGCTGTGGAAATGCTGACTTGAGTATAAATTGTCAGAATGAATGCCCCCATATGATATTACAAAGCAAATAGAGCCACACGTTTGTAATACAAGATGAATTCCTAATTCAGTGGGGGCGAAAAAAACTGAAATACAAACAAAAACCTCCAGTACAACCAAGAGATATGTCATTGGTGGAACATATATGAAAAAAAAAGTGTAACAATTTAAATTAATGCGGTCTGTTATGTAAAGTGGGTCTTTAAGATACTATTCTCCATGATGATAATGCAGCCCAATCAATTCCTTAATGCATTATTATTGAACTCCAGATGTCACTTGTGTATAATATTGTTATTTTGAAACTTCGGTTCATTGCTGCTTTAAGATCACTGATGCTTATAGCCCTGTAAATCTTTTGGTCAACAGTGGCCATTTTGTTAAAATACACTCAGCAAAAGATATCAGCGAAAGTTTGTGTGTTCAATCGCTTTGGTCAAGATTCTGACTGTTGGAATGTCGGCAATTGACTATCAATCATCTGTTCCCAACATCAGCACCAGTGTATGGTTGTTCATTAGATATGCTACTCTTGGTGGAATAAAATTAAAGTAAATAAAAGAAATGTAGTTCCGTTGTTTGAGCTGGCTAATCAGGCTATGCTACTGGACTGTTTTCAGTTTCATGCAATTTGCTTGCATTAATCTTGACCCTTTCATTCAGAGGCAGACTTACAAAATACCTATTCTATGGTGTAAATCAATCAGGATATCATAAACATGCGTTTCTTTGTAAAATCACATACCCACGGCAGCCTTTTAAAAAACACAACGTTGAACTTTTTTGTCACTAGATACCCCGTCTTCAAAAGAGCTACATGTACTGTGAGAACTTTCATGTATTAATAATTTAGCCAATGTGTGAATAGCTTGTTATGAAACAAGACTTTCGTCATCTTCTTAGGAAGACCTATAGAGCTCAGATATATTGGATAGGTAAAGCAAAATGGTTTGATATTAACATGTGCTCCCTTCCATTCCACAACAAATCAAACAAATGCTTCTGTTCAAAACGATGCAGACAAATCTATTCAGTACAGTAACATCAATTTGTAATAGTTTAACTCTAAAATCTGTGTAATGCATCTGCAATTGCAGAATTACACTTCAGTATTGGGTACTGCCAATAAATATGCTGTTTTTTTCCAGCTGAAGATGTCAGAGAGAAAATAGAGATCATAGATTTTTAAGGGGGTCACTTCCAAATAATAAAAACAAGCATAATTATTCTTGGAGCACTGCAGGAAAAATAAAATCAAACAAACTTTGAATCACTTTTTCCACACATGACCAGAATCCTCATAACCTGTCATTTCAGAACATAATCCATGCTTTTTTTTCTTCTTTATTCAATGCCACCATGAAATAAGATCGCTGTGACCTCTGCAGGTGATCTTGAACCTCTTTCTTGGGTGGAATCCAAATGGGTCAAATGTGTGTGATTGTCTGTGTGTGAGTATGTTTAAGTCTTAAATAAATTAGGTGCATCACTTATTAATAAATATCCTGTTGTCCCGTTCCAACAAGCTCAGGTTCAAATGTCAATCGAATCGGGCTGGCAGAAGAAAGCGGGCATTTCAGTGCACATCTGGCTCTTAAACTTGAGGGAGCTGGTTCATGTCAGTCAATACGGTTCCCGCAGATTGTGAAGCGGTCAATCTCCAGCAAGTCTTTTTTGGGTGCCCTGTGTTTAAGTTCGGAATCGTCCTGAATAAGGCTTTTTTCTTCTGATTCATCAGGTGTCGTGAGGAACTGATCTGATTCGCTGGTTGGAATTTGAGGGGCGGGACACTCGTCCTGTTGTGTGGGCTGAGTGGTGACTGATGCAGACATGCCCTCTTCTGCTGGATCACCTTCAGGGGGGGTTGGACACACTTGGTCAGTCAGAACAAAATATCATAAACTTTATGGTGTTTATCAGGGCTATTCAATTAGTTTGTCTTAGGGCCAGTTTATGAAAAGCATTCCAAATGAGGGGCCGGAGAGATATGACTTGCAACATGAGTGATGATCCAACTACACATAAGATCCCATTTGTTGTATTTTTGCTCCTTAAGACACTTATGTTGACTTTTTCTAAATAAAAATGATAATATTTTGTATTTTGAAACTACACAATATTAGTGCATTGTAGAATAAGCTTTTGTTTTTTTGTTTTTTTTACAAACATTCAAATGTTGCATTTCAAAGCACAAAAAAGCAGTGCATTGCATAAGGAGGCTTCTTCTGCATTCAGACACATTCATGTTATGTTTTAAACTGCATAACAATCATGGATGTAACAATTATAGATTTTGGTTGAATGATTATAAAGTCTGAAGAATAATCATGATTTCATGATTATCATGTCTAATGCAAATTTATGCTTTATATTTGGTAAGTATTTAAATGAACGGTTGTTATCATCTATCATACATAATCAGTTTAAAAATTTGTACTAATTCAACTGGCATATTTTTTATTTACATTGCAATGAAAGCTACACACAACTCTCACTGCTACGATGTGAGATGTTTTTTACTCGGTGTGTCTGGAAGGTGTGAGAGTGTCACTTCGCTTGCGTGCGTATATTGCATATATTCTTACATTGGAAATAACGAACTTGCACAAGGAACAGATGCGATGTGTGAATGGCCCGCTGCTATAGTTTATCCAGTCTGCGTGTGTATTAGCCTCGGTATAAACTCGGAACTTTAAACTAGCGCACAGGTGGCATAACTTTGTTTAGTTGCAGCAGTTTGATTCAGTGCAACAGAAACGTGTCACTGAGAAGCATTTATGTTAAAGTATCTAAATGTTTTCGGCTGCTCGTGCCAATCGCTTATTTTCAGGTGACTCACGCTCTGTGCGGCCTTCAACTGCAGCTTGTGCTGTATTAAACAGACGCATGTCACTTCATAACTATAGTGGCCGTTTTTCGACTGAACTAAGGTTATTTTTGATGTCTGGGTCACATTATTTAGAGGACCGAAAAAAATTGCCAAACTCGAATAGCCCTGGTGTGTATAAAAAAAAGCAAAGCAAAAATGGTAATTATTTTAATAAACAAAGTTTTTTCAAGCTTGGTTTATTACAGGTTTGACTAATAAAACTTAAATGCTTTTAGATGTAAAAAGTCAATTTGATTCAATGTTAAATCTAGTTTTTTTTGCACACTGTGAGTGAAATTTCATCTGGGCTTCTTTGTATTTTTTTCATGAATATTTGCCATAGAAATTTGTCATTTATCAAGAAAAAAAAAATTAGCAAAACTGTACAAAACAGTTCAAGAGTCTTGCTTGTGTTTTCTAAAATATAAAAAGGAAAGAAAGAAAAAAGAAAAAGAAAATATTGGGTCTATGTAATTGAACTGCTCCCGAACAGAGACTGGCAGTATGTCAAAGGTAGGCCCATATGGAATCTGCATGTGCAGAAATCTGCAGACTTTTAGCCCATCAAGTCTAGTAATTTATATTATATTCATTTTAATAATATTATTGACTTACAGTTAAAGTCATAATTATTAGCCCCCCTGAATTATTAACCCCCATGTTTATTTTTTCCACAATTTCAGTTTAAGATTTTTTTCAACACGTTTCTAAACATAATAGTTTTAATAACTCATTTCTATTAACTGATGTATTTTATCTTTGCCATGAAGACATTAAATAATATATTACTAGATGTTTTTCAAGACATTTAAAGGCTAGGTTAATTAGGTTAACTCGGCAGGTTAGGGCAATTAGGCAAGTTATTGAATAACGTTGTTTTGTTCTGTAGACTATCAGAAACAATAAATAGCTTAAAGGGGCAAATAATTTTGACCTTAAAATGGTGTTTAAAAATATTATTATAAAAATTATAAAAATTATAAAAATTATAAGAAATAAAACAAATAAGACTTTCTGCAGAAGAAAAAATACTATCAGACATACTGTCAAAGTTTCCTTGTTCTGTTAAACATAATTCTGGAAATATTTAAAAAAGAAAAAAGTTCAATGGGGGGATAATAATTCTGACTTCAACTGTATATGAAAATGTTCATATGATTTCTTTACAATAGTTTTTAAAGTAATATTTTCTGTCTTTTAGTAGAGATATTGTATGAGAGACTCACTTTGTTTACCAAATAAATGGATCTAATTGGATTTGCATTGTAAACATTAAATAAAAGTTAAAAAGGTATTATTTTTAATTTAATATATTAAGTTTTTAGTTACGATACACGCAAAATCATTCCGCATAAATCTTAAGATTTTTTACAAAATTATCTGCAGAAATAGCAAAAAATGTCAGCAGATTCTGTTTGGCCCTATTCAAAGATGTAGAGACAGTTCCTATATGCACATAGGGACTCTCATAGAGATAATAATATTCCTACTGTACAAACTGTATATTTTACAATTTGGCATTCTCTTGAATGACAGCTCTGAAGTATCAAAATGCTTGATAAAGCATCAAAATCCAAAGGTTTTGGACATAGTGTTTAAATGAGGTTGCATTTCAAACATGCAATCATTTTAGATGGATATTTTTTAAATAGAGAGTTTAAAAATAAAAACTTTAGACTTTATTCTGAGTATTTTCTTCTTTTGTTTTGTGTGTGTGTGGTACCTGGAGGTTCCCGTGTGTGTTTGGTCCGGTGGGCTCTGCTGGACACTCTGCTTGGAGCTGCAGAAGGGGGATTTTGAAACAGCTTTTCCTCCATATTTGCCTCTTTAACGTACATACAGGATTTCCCCAACAAAACAATACTGTTCAGAACCTTCAGTGTGATCATGCTGAATAAAACACACACAAACACACAGGCTCAGGTGTTTTTTCATTATCAACGAAAACTACCATAAACCTTATTTTGTACTTCAGTACAGTGATAGTGTACACTACATTAATTCATTGACCCGTGAGTTCAGTGGACAACTTCCATCTTATTTTACTACATAGATTACAAACTTGCCATCTCATGGAATAACATCGGTTTCCATTATTAGAAAGAGTTTGGGAAAAGTGTGTCTCTCTTAGTGTTAGCATAATAGATCAATGAAAGCCTACTGCCTCTGCACAAGACATTACCCTTTCATATTCTCTCAAAAAGATTGCTAAAACAACAGGTTGCTGTTTTATCAGGCCTTTTCTTGAAAAAACAAACAAACAAACAAACAAACAAACAAACAAACAAACAAATGTGTCCTTTTCTAATCTCCCTATAATTTCTATGATATTAGAAAAATGTGTTCATTTAATTACAACAATTGTTGAGTACTAAATCAAATATGGTATACATTTAAATAAAAAGTCAAAGTCAGTACTGAAATAGCTATTTTTAAAGTATGTAACAATACATGTTTCAAGGTTTGCCCCACTCATATTTTGTGTTACAGCATGTGCTAGTGCTTTTGTTTCGCCCTGTTTGCACTAGGTAAAAATAATGTTTGCTTTATTTTTGTCTTAATCGCTTTCTTCTTGCATAATGGTAAATAGTACAGTACTTGGTTGCTACATTACTGGCAAACTGAAGCAGTAGAATAAAATCCTTCTATTCTTGCTTTCCCTTATTAGATGAAACAGGGCTGAAAGAGCATTTGAGGCAACTGGTCCAGATTCTACAATTTTACACTTAAACAAGCAACTCATTTATTCTTTCTGGCTTTTAAGCAGGTGTTATATTTATACAGTGCTCAGCATAATTAAATACACCCTATTTTGAAAACGAATATTTTTATACAATTCTCATTGAATATGGGTTATGTATATTGGTGCACTTGATCCAAACAGATTTAATAAATAGATATATTTATTAAAATAATATTTTACTCACCAAACATCTTTAGAAATAGAACAATAATACATTTTAAATTCATGCAAAATATTGCAAAAAAAAAAAATTGTATGTATTTTTATTCCTCTTGATTTTTGCTCTTTTAAAAAAATATTTAATATTTTTATACTGTTATTGTAAGTTATTTTGTTAGATTATCTACAGATTTGGCTTCAGTACTGACTAATCTAATGTATATGCACAAATATAATATTGTAAAGCATTCTATAGAAAATATTAATGTAAATAAGAAATTTGCAAGGGGTTTACTCATTTATGCTGAAGACTGTACATACACTTAAATAACTGTCACAAATTTGAAAAGAACAACATAATTTTATAGAAACGAGAATAAAAGAATAACAATAATAATGAATGTTATAAAAATGTGAACTCTATCTATACCCCAGATAGAAGAGCAGGACACACACAATGGACAGAGAGCCCTGGATCTTCACAGAGCTGGTCACCACCCGGATCAACTGTCAAAAACATGGAAATAATACGATGGTACTACACATAACATCTTTATGATAAAAATAATAAAGTCTATTATCAAAAGAAACATCAAACAATATAGGTTACCAGTAGGGCAAGAGGAAGAGGAATGAAACCCATCCTCCTGGACACACTGTCACTGTAGTCTGTGTATGCCTGAAAATGCACGCATACAAACATTTTGATTAACAAAGATAGATGAAATAGTCTTCAGCAGATCACTGTGATTAGAATCATGAACAGGAGGAGATAAGCTAAGAGTTAACACTTTATTTTGATAGTCCATCTGACTAATAGTAGACTGTCTTAATATCTGTTGATATGCTCCTTCAACAGACATTTAACTGACTATAAGAAACTTTGCAAGTACGTAAGTAGTGTAACACAACCTACACTAACCCTACCCCCAACCTAAAAGTCTACTTATAATCTAATAAGAATTAGTTAACATGTAGAATTAGTTGCCAATGTAACTTAAATTCAACAAACGAACCATCACAATAACATGAAACCAAAAAAGTAAGAGATACTCTCAATTAATTTGATATATTTATATATAACTGGCTTGAAAAAGATCTCTGATATGATAAATAGACATGCACTTACATTTTTCTGCCTGCTGCTGACCAGATCAAAGGCAAGACTAGCTCTGTATTCACTGTAGACCTGCACACACAAACACATATACACGCATGTAAGTAATGATGATCTGTGGATAAGTACGTGACCTAAATATAAAATCAGGAAACTACCCTAAATCATATTCAGTACTTTGATAAAGTCATTAATTGTCCCCCGAGTGATGTGGAGAATTGAAATTTTCATGCTACATCATCTGTTTCTATTATTAATGGTTCAACTCTTTACTGTATGACGTAGGAGTTTGCCACTCTTGGTATTGGTATAACAGATCAATTAAAGCCCACTGCCACACCACAACACATTATTCTTTTACATATACTGTGTGTGTGTGTGTGTGTGTGTGTGTGTGTGTATATATATATATATATATATATATATATATATATATATATATATATATATATATATATATATATATATATATATATATATATATGTTTTTTTTTTTTTGTAAAGATTCCTAAAACTACAGGTTGCCATTTTTCCCCATTTCATTAATAAATGCATTGGCACTGGAACATTACCAGACACACAGACATGCAAAAGTCAGGTCTCAGGTCTTCTTAAAAGACAAACAAACAAACAAATCCTAGACCCTTTCTAATACCTATAATTTCTAATATAATAGAAAAAGTTGTTTATACAATTACAATTACAATAGTTGTTGAGTACTAATATTACACTGGATACACTTAAAAAAACTTCAGAGTCTGTCCCTACTGAAAAGGCAATTGTTAAAGTAACAATACATGTTTCTATGTAAACACACTATGCACTAGAGATGCTCCGATCAGGATTTTTGCAGCCGATACTTCGTGGATCACGATCGATACAGAGTACCGATTTTGATGCTTCAAGCTTTATAATACATTAATCACATTTTCCCTCCAAGTTTGGATCTTAAGGACAGATCTCACCATACCTAAGAGAATAAATTAAGAATGCTGCAAACATTATATATTATCTCTTATAAACATTTAGGCATAAACATGTCATGGCCAGAAACATCTTTACAGAAAACCATTCATTCATTTTACTTCGGCTTAAGCTATGTATAATAAAAGGGAGCGGTGTGTGCGTCTTCCTCTGCTTGTAATTTCACAAACAAACACAGTACATGAGATCAGCCAGATTGGCGAGTACCGATCAAGTCATCGTGAAATGTAATTATTAGCCGATACCGATCTTCAGCTGATCGATCTTAGCATTCCTAGTTTGCACCACTCATATTTTCATGTTTAGAGCACTATGTAGTCATATGCAGTCCCACAATCCTTCATTCTTGTAGGTGAGCCAAGTATTAAATCAGCAAACTAAAAAGATTAAGTGAAAAATTCATGTAAAAAAATCCAAGCAGATAACTCAGGAGTTCAAGAGTGTATCTGAATAATTCATTAAAGAGTCTTTCTTTTCACAGTGCCTGACCTGTTTAGCTCCTCATATTCAGATTGCAAACTCTCACGTCTGCACAGATTAAATGCTCTTTTCTCCATGGTCTGAGTCCTTACTAGCACTACCTAATCCTAATCAAGTACTAAACTAAGCACATTCTAAAAAAAAAAAAGAAAAAAAAAAAACTTTGAATCATGTTCTCAGCTTTCTTCATTCATCATTTATTTACTGCTTCTTGGTCATATTTTCAGGAAATATGGTATCCAATTGCACAGGCCTTTCCTCTAAAAAATATAGTTCTTTCTCTCCATTGTTCCTGACCAGATCCATAGCTCAAAATATCTATAAAACTAAATAGTGACAAAACTGAGGTCATACTGATTGGTACAAAATCTTTTTTGGAAATATCTGATTGTCTGGTGATATTGATAATGTGATCTGTCCTTCTCTGCAGGTCAGGAGTTTGGGTGTTATTTTGGAAAGTACACTGTTTTTGAAGGACATATTAATAAAGGGTTTCTGCGGGTTTAACCAGATTAAATTTAAGACTTTTAAAGACCTTTTTAAAACCATTACGAATGACATCCCAGACTTATTAATAATTGGTTGGGCCATTTGAGGTAGAAAGATTTGTTTTTACCCCAATTGAATAATTCTAACGACTTATTTCTTAGCCAAACCTTTAAATAATGTGTCAAAACAAGCTAATCTTATTTATTAAACAAATTTTCTTTTAAAAAAATGTTGGACAAGCTTTAAAATGTATAATAAACTAAATTGCTGTATGCACATTTTATTATATGTGACGTTTTGTAACCGTGACCTTCATCAGACATGACCATGCCACACATCCAGCCATATCTGAAACACTATATATAATAAAATATTCATTCAGCAAGTATTGACAGTGTGTAGGATTGTTTGTTTCCTTTTTGCACATTTTCACAGGGTGATTTTTCCCATGTACCTATTGTTGCTTCAGATGTGCTAAGTTTACTTGATTTCAAATGCTTTAAATACAATTATTATTATATATTTTCTTCCTCCTTACCAAGGCTGCATTAATTGGATATTTATTTTGCATTTATCTGCATTTATTTAATATAAATGCGTTTTTAATCTTTCGTTGATAATAAAAGTTTTTTTTTTTTGTGCAAACACTACCTTTTAATCTATTTAAAAATTAAGCAAAAAAGTGATATGGTTAAAATTTAAAAAAAATAAATAAATAAAAAAACAACACCACTCTTTAGGGCCATTTTATCAAACACACAACACACACAACACATAACACACACACGTTTGTTTTTGTGAAAAGTGGGGACATTACATAGGTTTCCATTAATTTTATACTGTCCAAACCGTATATTATACTGCCCTCACCCCACCCCACCCCACCCCTAAACCCAACCATCACAGGAGACTGTGTGCAGCTTTACTCTCCGATTAAACTCATTCTGTAGGATTTATAAGCATTTTGAGAAATGAGGACGTCACCAATGTCCTCATATTTCACCTCCTTTTCGTGATACCTGTCATACCCATGTCATTATACAGATTTGTGTCCTGATATGTCACAAAAACATGTACACACACACACACACACACACACACACACACACACACATACACATACACACACACACACACACACACACACACACTCACTCACTCTAATACATAATAGATAAGCAAAAATAAACATTTCCTAGAAGTATTGCCGACTTCTAGTGAGGACACTGTACAGTAGAGAGAGAGAAAAATGTGCATGTGTGCTGTGACACTAATCTTCCTGTCTAAACTAAGCAGATCTGTCTCTAATCCCTGCCAGTAACTACACTCCTCTTCTGTCATTACATATCTGTCTACCCTCCCCAATCCACATCTTTCACTCATCCTTTCCCTATTTTAGACCCTTGTTTTGTTTATTTGTTCGGACATTATATGGACAGTTTGGTTAGTAACGTCACAGATCTTTCCTCCAATAAGTATCTATACGTATAATAAGCATTTTTCAATAAAAAAACCTCACTGCTGAGCAAAACTCCAAATCACTTCTGCATATGCATGTGCTGATTTGTGATCCACAGATCCATCATTGTTCACTTTCAGACTCCCACCCATAGCAGACCTATGTCTCCTGGTGAAGGCTTCCTTTAGACTGGGACAGAAGCTTTTTAGACAAAAAGGATGAGATCTGAATTTGCCTTTGGTTTAATTAGGTCACGTCATAGTTCTCACGTTCTGTTTTCTTTACATTATTGTAGATAAATGTTCTCTGGATACCTGTATATTAGTGTCTTGTCATTTGAGTAGCATGAGGTCATGCTAACAAAAATGACCCTTTACACTACACCCTGCCTCAGCCGCTAGTGCATTTAAGTTACAATAGTTTATTCTTAGTTTGTCGTTTTATTTTACTAACATAATCCCAAAATGAAAACCAACCCATTATACGAAATCTCAACAGTACCATTTGAGCAGGATTACAACATCAAGTGTGATGTTGCATGAATGTGGCACATTGTGTTTTTTTAGGGTTTGTTATAAAATACCATATTAACAGAAATTATTAAGCATAACATTTTAAAATGTATATAATTATTGTGTTTGTAGGGTTTGTTATTAAATATTATACTAATTTAAATTAATAGAAATTATATGGTATATATATAATATGGATAACATTTTAAAAATATATTATTCATGTAGAATATATATACAATTGAAGTCAGAATTATTAGCCCCCCTTTGATTTTTTTTTTTCTTTTTTAAATATTTCCCAAATGATGTTTAACAGAGCAAGGACATTTTCACAGTATGTCTGATAATACTTTTTCTTCTGGAGAACATTTTATTTGTTTTATTTTGGCAACAATAAAAGCAGTTATTTATTTTTTAAAAACCATTTTAACGTTAAAATTATTAGCTCCTTTAAGCTAGATTTTTTTTTCGATAGTCTAGAAGAGGGCTATTCAATTGGTGGCCCGCGGGCCGAACCCAGCCCCCGAGGCAATTTGTTCTGGCCCTTCAAAAAGCGTGACCAGGACATAAAAAATAAATTTAGTTCAGTCGAAAAACGGCCGCTATAGTTATGAAGTGACGTGCATCTGTTCAATACAGCACGGTGAGGCTGCACAGAGAGGGAGTCACCTGACATTAAGCCAGTGGCGCAGGCAGCTGAACACAATTTGGACATGTTTGTAGAAAAGGTATTTTGTACTATGCACTGATATTGTCAATAGGGATGCAACGGTTTGCCGATTTAACTATTAACTGCGCTTTAAAACATCACAGTTAATCAATCGTTAAGTCTCTAGGCCGCATTACTGATGCACGGAACAAAACGAAACTGCTGCAATTTAACAAAGTTGTGCCAAGTTGCCAACTGTGCACTAGTTTAAAGTTCCAAGCTTGTACACTAAGGCTAATACACACGCACACTGGATTAACTATAGCACCAGCCGTTTCCATGTCACGTCTTTTCTGCTTGCAAGTTTGTTATTTCTAATGTAAGAATATATGACAATATGCACGCACAAGTGGAGCAACGCGCTTGCGTCTTTCCGGGTGCACGTAGTGGAAAACATCTCACGGTGAGAGTTGTACGTGCCTGTCAGTGCACTGTCAACAAAAGATATGTTAGAAAAATTATTATTAAAATGACTATGTATGCATGAACTCATATGACAACAACAGTTAATCTAAATAGCTGCTTACCTAATATAAAGCTTAAATTTAAATTAGACATGAACCGTGAAAACATGATTATTCTTCAGAATATATAATCGTACAACCAAAATCTATAATTGTTGCATCTATAATTGTTATGCAGTTCAAAACACATCATATGGATGTGTCTGAATGCAGAAGACGCCTACTTTAGCAATGCACTGCTTTTGTTGTGCTCTGAACTACAACATATGAATGTTTGTTAAAAAAAACTGATGTTATGTAGTTTCAAAATACAATATATTAACCCACGTGGGAGCAAAAATACAGCGTATGGGCTCTTATATGCAGTTGTGTCATCAGTCATATTGCAAGTCATATCTCTCCGGCTCTTTGTTTGGGATGCTTTTCATGAACCGGCCCCCATGACAAACTAATTGAATAGCCCGAAAACAAACCATCGTTATAAAATAACTTGCCTAATTATCCTAACCTGCCCAGTTAACCTAACTGACCTAGTTAAGCCTTTAAATGTCACTTTAAGCTGTATAGAAGTGCCTTGAAAAATATCTAGTCAAATATTATTTACTGTCATCATGGCAAAGATAAAATAAATCAGTTATTAAAAATGAGTTACTAAAACTATTATGATTAGAAATGTGTTGAAAAAAAACTTATCTCTGATAAACGGAAATTGGGGAAAAATAAATTATAGCTAATAATAAAATTATAATTTCCTGACGTTAAAGATATCAATTCATTATTGTCATCAATGATCACCTATTAGATCACCAATTAACTTAGAGATTTTAATAAGTTAGGGTCAGAATAATTATTTAGCTTAATTTTTCACACTTAATTGTCTGTTAAAATGACTAATTCTGGAACATAAACTTAATTTTCATTCATCGAGTTATTTTTAAAAAGTAATTTGTTTTACTTCATTTGTTAATTCAATTTAATGGAAAAACCAAATGGGACAACTCGTAGAATGTTTAACATTTAATTAATAGAAAATATTATAAATATATCTGAACAGTACTCATAGCACAAAAATTATTTAAATATGCCAAACAAAAAGAAGCACATCACCACTGCCACTAGTTTGAGACTGTACATCAAGTAACAGTAATTTGGACTTACATCTGCTGTGATGTCATTAAACTTGGTGATGAAGGCATGCTTGACAACGTCCACTGCAATCTCTGAGGCGATTACCATGCAAACATCAGGAAACAACACCCACAGATGATCTATGAACAGTAATCAATAATTAATATACACAACGGTTACTTTTACATATACATCCGTGTTGTGCATTAGAAAGAAAATCCAAGATGAGTGAGCTGCAGACCTGGATTCCAGGAGAACTGCTCCATGTTTCTGAGACATACAATCAGTAACAGTGTGTAGTTTGTAAACCTTTCTTTAATGTCTATAATGAGAAAAAAAATGTTAGGACATTTAATCAGTGACAGTTTGAGACTGACATACTTTCACTCACATATATTTATATGGACCTACCGCTATTGGACATCTGGAAGAGATTGTTTTTCTCAAATTTCTTGAATACACTTCCTTTGATCTCAACAAACTACATAAAAACACATAAAACAAATATTAATATTGGCCAAAAGAATGAAGTAAGCTCTGCTGTAAACAGTAACATGCAAAGACCATAAAGGTTGTGTGCATTTAAATGGTTAGTTCACTCAAAAAAAGATTCTATAATTAATTACTCAACATTATATCATTATAATCTCTTCCAAACCTTCAGTCATCTTCAGAACACAAATTAATATAATTTAGATGAGATCAGAGCTCTCGCGTTTCATTATAAATATCTTAATTTGTGTTCTAAAGACATGAGAGCAATAAATAATAACAAAATTTTCCCTTTTGGGTGAATTAACTCTTCAATTGAATTAGACAATTAATGCAACTTGTATACAGTGCAATGTACTCACATTATTAGACATCATGATGGTGAGGAGTGATTTGTTATGTGAATTGAAAGCCACATTTAGTGTTGTGGCCTGAACCATAATCAAAATGGCATGTAGAACTGCATTTTCAATTAAGGAAAGTTATGACTGACAACTGCGATAGATCACATACAACAAAAAAGATCCCACACAATGGCTCTGTGTAGTTAAAGACATACTAAACATAGACTGTACATTTGCATTTAGTACATTTGTATTTCTGTATATATTGGTGTAATCGTTTATTAAACAAACAACATAAATGTGAGTAAATCAAAAAATCTCAAAAGTAGTTGATCGATCAAAAATAAACACAGTAGCAAAAGATCCAAAGAAAATCAGCACACTGCTGATTCATCACAATCATATTAAAGGACTTTTGAGAGCTAAAGTTTTCTTTTGATCTTTTGCTACTGTAATTATTTATTACAAAGATTTTTATTGGGACATTAAAAAGTGTAAATAACTATAAATAGGTATCTTTAACCATTTCAATAAATCAAATTCTTTTTGATTGAATATTTAGAGCTTAAAGTGACATTTAAAGCCTTAACTAGTTTAATTAGGTTTAACTAGGCAGGTTAGGGTAATTAGGCAAGTTATTGCATAATGATGGTTTGTTCTGTAGACTATCGAAAAAAAAATAGCTAAAAGGGGTTGATAATTTTGACCTTAAAATGTTTCTTAAAAAATTCAAAACTGCCTGTATTCTAGCTGAAATAACACACATAAGACTTTCTCCAGAAGACAAAATATTATCAGACATACTGTAAAAATTTCCTTGCTCTGTTAAACATCATTTGGGAAATATTTGTAAAAAATTATAATTCAAAGGGGGCTGAATAATTCTGACTTCAACTGTATGTAATATTTATTAAATACATAGTACGGCGACGCAGTGGCGGAGTGGGTAGCACGTTCGCCTCACAGCAAGAAGGTCGCTGGGTTGCTGGTTCGAGCCTCGGCTCAGTTGGCGTTTCTGTGTGGAGTTTGCATGTTCTCCCTGCATTTGCGTGGGTTTCCTCCGGGTGCTCTGGCTTCCCCCACAGTCCAAAGACATGCGGTAGAGGTGAATTGGGTAGGCTAAATTGTCCATAGTGTATGAGTGTGTGTGTGAATGTGTGTGTGGATGTTTCCCAGAGATGGGTTGCGGCTGGAAGGGCATCCCCTGCGTAAAAACTAGCTGGATAAGTTGGCGGTTCATTCCGCTGTGGCGACCCCGGATTAATAAAGGGACTAAGCCGAAAAGAAAATGAATGAATGAATGAAAGTACATAGTACTTAATCTGACTAAAAATTTTTACTAATTATGTTATTCTTTAAATATTATATATTTTAAAATAATTAATCATTATAAAACATTTAATTTATAATATTATCTTACATGGTCTACTTGGCATTGGAAACAAAGCTAGTGAGAAGGATACAGACGTAGAGAACAGCCATGAAGAAATGTGGGATGACTCCTATGTGTGCTCTTTTTCTCTCTTTAGGTTCGGTGGCCGTCCAGTACAAAGCATCCAAAATATCTTGACCAAAAGATGAAAACAAGCGATCTGCCACCTAGTGGAAAAACAAAAAGAGTGTCCATCCATCTTCCTGTACTGTTATTATTAATAGCAAAAAAAAGAAAAGAAAGCAATAAATGTGAACGTTGTGATACTGTACCTCGAGCATGTTGTAGATGATGTAGAGCTTTATGACAGACTGACCCCGGATCAGGTGATACATCATGGAATAATCCACATAATGCATCATGAAATAACACAGAACCATGATGAAACCCTTCAGAACATCACAGACCTGAGCAGGCTGCAAGATGCGAGACCCACTGCGCACACACACACACAGCAACACACAAAATAATACATCTTAATGGTTAAATAAGATTCAAAGACATCTGGATTAACACAATGAAAGAATAGACGATTATAATAAAACGGTTCCTTCACACACAGCCATTGGGTTACTAATGTCACACACTCAGTCCATGCATCATGCTAAAGATTAGACACATGATCAAATAAAGCAGAGCAATGACATATTCATTAGTTTTTAAAATGAGCTTATTAATATTCGCTTTACCTTTATATTACTTGAGTCCTATTATTAACTATTAATAACAAAATGTGAATAACAGAACCAATAATGATTCCATTACAAAGATTAAATGACAACAATATAAATGATCCAATGCATAATTAAATATGAATATTATTGAAAAAATGCTCATGTATGTGTAAATGACAGGAGCTTTAAAGCTCAAATTCAACAGTTATAATAATGTATATACACTACACTGACGTTCAAAAATATGCAGTTTGTTTTTTTATACTTATACTTCATGTACTTTTAGATGGTCTAATTTCATTAGTTTTCACAGCAGCATTAAGCAGCACAATATTTTTTAACATTTATAAAAAAAAAAAAAATTAAGTATAACATTCAGGGAATATTTCAATGAGTTTTAAAGAAACACTGAAGACTGGAATAACGATAAAATGAATAGAAATTATAAGTAAAGGAATATGCAATTAAAAAAATTATAATAAAATAGGAAACTTCAAAATTATTTCACAATAGTATATACTAGATCTAGTACAGGCCAATAATTTATCACGATTAATCGCATCTAAAATAGCATTTTGTTTTCACACAATTTATGTGTTTGTACTGTATATGTTTATTATGTATAAATACATACACACATGCATGCATGCATATATTCGATAAAATGCTTATTAATATTTAGATATAAAATATATGTGAATGTGACACAAACTAGATATTAATTTAAATATCTATGTGACAAAATTGTTTTGTATAGTCTTGTTTCTATGTATGTGTACCTCATGTACATAATATATAAAGAAATAAACAAACATATTTTATATCATTTTGAATGCAATTAACAGGGATTAATCTTTTCCCAGCACTAATGGGGTATATGCACACAGACTTTTAATTTCAGTCAGCCAGCCCCAGGGCTTCTGGTTAATTGTCATCCTATACAAAATTGCTGTGTTTAAAATCTGATTTCAGAAAAAAAAAAGCAATCTTCACTGCCTGGATGAGATACAATATAAATTTGATATCAGACCAAACAAGAATTGTATTAAATTATGTTTTCCGCGCCATCGCTTTAAAATATGGACATTAACTTTATCAGAGTAATTTTAATGGAATTTCCGTGCTAGCCTGCTGCTAATGACAGCGCCTGCATTTAAATCGTCTCTTTTTACGATTAAACAACTAAATAAATGCTGAAGTCTATTAAACTGAACATATTTGAATTACATTACAACATCGATGCTTTAAAAGAAATCTTATGAAGTTGAAAAGAGTCCCATAAAGCTTTTAACAAAAGTCCATCATTGGCTGAAAAACGCTAACTGTGCATACATCACATTTGATCCTATAATTCATTGCTTTTCTTCTGTAAAGATCTCTTTTACGGAAACTTGTACCAGCAGTTTATATCGATATGCTATCACAAACATTTATTATCATGACAAATCACAGATTGTATTAGTATTTATAAATGCATAATGTGCTTTTATATTGTAATGCATTTACTAAATGCAATTTACAGAAACTACATGATCAGCATTTTAGAATCATAAAACAACAATGTATTATAAAGCAAAAATGTATTACTTACTACTTTAGAACACTAAAACACAACATTATACATGGTTTATTTCCTTTTATGAGCGCTTCATATGTTTAGTGTGACCACACTGCCATCTTGTGACTGATCATGCAAGAACACTCAAAAAACACACAAAAAATATCTAAGCTGATTTTAGTAGTTTAGTGCAAAATCAATGCACAACAGTGCACAATTATACAGCAATGGCAATTAAAGCCTGTGTAAGAGAGGAAGTGTGTGTATAAAAGAACACAGCCGCTGCAATCATACCAGCATGGATTTTTGAGTGTGTGCTCTCAAAGCAGCTGCAGTCATTTCTGCATACCTGCTCTTTTTGCAGTAGGGGCAAATACTAGCCCTGCAGGCAGAAGAATATACAGTGAACAGCAGCTACACTCTTATACAGCCGTTTGGGCTTACAGGGATAGCTCACCAAAAATGAAAAATCTGTCATCATTTACTCACCCATATGCCATTCTAAACCCATAAGACAGTAGTCAATCATCAAGCCACAGACTAAGACATCTTTTTGTACATGACAGTTGATTGAAAGCGCAGGTGTCTAAGCTTCTTTTATTACATTTGCTTATTATTTTGGCAATGTCCCATACAATTAAATTTTGCAGCTTCTTAAGATGTAAATAAACATTTTTGTTTACGCAATTTTGCTTGTATGTGAATTATTTCCTTGGGACTTGGAGACGGACATTTTCTTCTCTCTTTCTTCCATTAGTTTTTCATTTTTGTCTTTTTATTTTTTGTTCATGCCCCACTTGTCCTAGACTTTTATGCTGACATGACGTTTACTACATATAATCCAGGACCACAAATGGTTAAGTTATATGAGTGTATTTTCGGCCAAAGCCAAAATTGCATTGCATTCAATTGCATTACAAAATTATAGGAAAAATATCATTATATGTGCAAAATTCATCAAATTCAAGATAATGTTCCGTGCATATATTTTGTACATTTCCTAATGTAAATCTATCAAAAGTTAGTTTTTTAAGAGTATTATGCTTTAATTAAAACTTAAATTTGGACATTAAAGGAGATTTTCACTTTTTGTATCCTTCAGATTCCAAATGTTTAAATAGCTGTATCTTGACCAAATATTATCCTATCCTAACAAAACATTAACCAATGGAAAGCTTAGTTGAATTCACTGATGTAACTTAATTTCATACAATTGACCCTTATGAACTGCTTTTTATAGTCCAGGTTCACATATATAATGTACACTGTACACAGTGTGTGTTCTGATCAATGTTCAGGTGAATAAAAGCCTCATTTAACCTGTTCATCATATAAAGCAATCGTATGTTTTTTCAAATGCTTGAAATTATGTTTTAAATGTTGTGTGTTAAACCACTGGATTCATATGTCTCCATTATGATTTTCATATAAGCGTTAGCTTTCTAGGCTTTTCATGGAGGTTTTTAAACCATTTCAGGTTTCATAAAAAAAAACCTTTGTTGAAGTGGATTTTATTAAGTTGAAACAAATTTTTTGTGTGTTTTTGTCATAATGGTGTAGAAAATGGAATGCCAGTAAGCCAGAAGAACAGAAGCTGGTCTGACACACAATTTTTTGACTTAATGTTGTGGTGTTAGATTATAATTTTATAGATTATTGATTATTTATACACATATTATCTAAAAGGTGCAGTATGTAAGTTTGACACTCAGTGGTTGAACTAGGTATTGCACCCCTGGATCAAAACAAACGCAAGCGCAGGTTGCCAGATTGAGGACAGGAGAGAGTGCTTTAAGTTTTTGTCCTAACCAACACCTCAAATTGATATATTAGAAAAGGCTTCTATTTCTCACTGGTGAACAACAGAAAACTATGACAATGATCACCTCAGGTAAACTTCATGTGCTTTATTTAGTGTTAAATGCTAGCAATGTAAGTTTGAATGCCATTTTACATGACATTTGTTTTCCATACTATGGAAAGCAGTAGCAGAAAGTTCACCTCAGTTCTCGAAAATAAAATAAACCATTTGAAATTGAACTTTAGAACAAAAATGAGTGATTCAGCATGTACAGTTAATAATGTTAAAGATGTTTAATATGTATTAAATAGATTATAAACCTTACCATTAATAAGTGATTGCTTATTCTGTGCTTCTGAATGGCTGTATTAAAATTTCTGTCATTTTTCGTCTGGTGCAAACATCCAAATTGCTTCACTGCGCATCTCATCATGTAGCGTGTTGTTAGGACATGCGGTTATAATGTAACCTGCTTACTTAATGTTTACATTTGCAATATTTATGTAATTTGCAAATTAATAACCTCTTGTGGAACTGAATGCGTCTCATTTTGGAGTCTGCTACTGTCCACCACAGGTCACATTTTGGTCACGGACGCATGCTTTCAGAGCCTTTCTAAATGAATGATATACAAGGTTTTCCACCAAGGCAACCCAAGACGCTGAAATATAATTGGCTAAACTAGCCTTGGGCAAGTTAAAATTAGCAAAACAAAGACAGCGTTCTGGCATAAAAAACACATTTTCAAAGCAGAATATCTGATTTCAGCATAGTTTTTTAGATAAACAAGTATATTCACTTGGCATGTTTCTTAAATATCTGCAAACATATTATGGTATTTTATTGCTTTAGAAGAGACAAAAATGTACATACAGTACCTATAATTTTAATGCATTTTGCATTAGTAAATTACCTGTTTAACAAACAAGAGAACCAAATGAAAGTAAATGAAGTGAAGTGCGTTTTAAAAAAAAGCCTTCAACCATACTTCCGTGGCCTCAGCCTTAGGGCAGAACGACCTTAATGATGACAATTTTTTTATTTTGAGGTGAATTATCACTTTAAGTCAGTGTGTATATACTTCTGTTAATGTGTGTAAAATAAAAACGTGAAAGACACAGGTGGACATGTTTCAACCTTCTGGATTATAATTGAATGAAAGTCTAAGTCTGGGGAATATCCAGTTTTTGTGCGTATGTTACCTGAGGCCGCAGCAGGGCAGTGTCAGCAATCTGACCAGAGCCAGCAGCACTCTGAGGGGTAGCAGAGTGAACACGTACAGAAACACATCCAGACACAGGAAATAGCCAAAGATCATCAGCTACAGACACAGAGAGAGATATAGAGAAAAACATTTCACTAATTAAATTGGATCTGGCATAGCTGAAATTAATATATAATAAAAGTTTTAAAAGATTAAAAAGCACATTTCAAGTATTCTGAAAGTATTTTAATAGACTTTATTAGAGCGGAGAATTTTGTAAAAAAAAAAAAATTGTGGATTTATGCAGAATGATTTTGAGATTATCATGACTAAAAACTTAATACATTAAATAAAAAAAGAATACCTTTTTTAACTTCATTTTAATGTTTACAATGCAAATACTATTAGATCCACTTATTTTGTAAACTTGGCAAGTCTCTCATATAATAGATCTACTAACTAAAAGACATATGAAATATTTCTTCATAAACTGTATTGTTAATAAATCATATGAACATTTTCATGCCAATAATGTTACTGAAATGGTTCAAAAACTGAATAAATATAAATTTACACACATTTAAACAAGTAAACAAATAGACTCAATGATGGGCTAAAGATCTGCAGAAATCTGTGTCGGCAGATTCTGTGTGGGCCTAGCCATTATCCACTGAAAAAGTTTTCCTGCAATATAGTATAAATACAGTTATGTTGTTATGCCATGAGACCATTTCAACAAAATAGTGTCACAATAAAAGATACATTTTACATATACAGTAGCATTAATTATGCAATATAGACTTTTACATTAGGGCTGCCAAAATATACATACAAAAATTACAGTTAACACGATAATAGTACACCCAATACCTATATCGCAGAGAAGTGCAATAAATTCACTTAGCTTTATGTGCCAAGTATTTGTGTGCTACATGCACAGGTTAGTTTGTTTATCTAAATTAGAGCAAATCAGATGGAGTTTGTACTATCTTGATTTCCACCTCTCCAGAAGGTGCTGTTAGCTGAAAATAGAGCTTAAAATAAATACTAATGCTGGAAGTCAAGAGATTCAAATGAAAACAGGCAATAAAAATCAGTATGTCCGCTTCCGGCTTTCAGTCATTAAATTTTTCACTCTTTTTTTTATTATTATTTAATTAGTTTAGCAAAAATTTCTATAACTTGTTTATTTTAGTATGATCAATACATAAATATATATTTTTTAAAAACTGTTGATATAAAAGATCGTTTTTAAAGTTAGTTATATCTTAAAAGATTATCATAAAACATTGTTTTCATAACCCTCAACAACAATATCGTATTTCACACATTTTCTCCATTTAATTCAGGTGTATTTTACATGGTGTTTTTGTTTTTTTATGCAAAGAAATCCACAAATTACATGACATGAAATCAAATACAAATGGAAAACAGAGAAAAACAAATAACAGAAAAATAACAGAAAAGACAATCAGGTGCAGCTAGTTATGTGTGCGCTTGTGAGAGTGCAAGGAAGTGTGTGTACATGTAAAGGTAACTGGGTGGACAGGTTAAAGTATATAAACAAGAGAACAAAAAATATACAACATCCATAACAGTAGAAAACATATTGTAGGTCATAAATAGTAAAAAAAAATTCTAAAATAATATAGATATAAATAGAACACATAATAGACATATAGAATAAAATCATAGAACAAAACCTATCAGAGGTGCAAAATAAGGTGCATGTTGTTTAAATGCTGGTGCGTCAACAATGTGAGCTAACAATAAACGTTTCTCTAACAGTAAAAATGCACTCTTTCCTTTGTGTTATTTAAAGCCCTATAGCGATTTTCTGCTTTTCTTTTTTAGCTGTATTCCTATTAACAGAGCAAGCTGGTACTGTATATTACACTAGGTTTTTACATTCACAGAGATAACTTCAATTAGTGTACAGAAAATAGTATATCAGAATTTTAAACTGACAAGAAACATGTGATAAACTTTAATGATAATACAGAACTGTATTGTCAAGCGAGTACAATAGGTATGGTAACACACTATGGGCTCTATTTTAACGATCTAGGCGCAAAGTCTAAAGTGCGTGGCGCAAACGCATTGACGGCGTGTCCAAATCCACTCTTGCTATTTTTAAGGACGGAAAAATATGCTCTGCGCCACGGCGCATGGTCTAACAGAGTTGAGCTTATTCTCTTAATGAGTTAGGGGTGTGTTACCAATAACAGAATAAACCAATCAAAGTCTCATCTCCCATTCCCATTAAGAGTTAGGTGCGACGCACAATGGCGCATTTGCTATTTACATGGCAGTTTTGTAGGTGTAAAAACTGAATGCTTCACTAGCGAGAAAACAGTTAAACAGACCATCTGCAGTACAAGCATAAAGAATGAGACTCCTTCAATCGGTCTTTACTTTTTACTTTCTCTCTTTCATGGATAAAGAAATTGTGTTTTAGGATATGCACAGACATCAATTAGCTTACATAATTAATTTCGTTTGTTAAACACAAAGATTTGTTTCAAAACTATTTCTAAATTCAGTTCAAACGAATAAATGAACAATAATAATGAAGTGTGGTTAAAAAACTGAGTTATAGTTCTAAACACACATCCTATGCCCCATATGGTCTAAAACCTGACAGGTGGACAAATCTAAGCTTGTTTTTAATAATATAAATAATATTATAATAAGTACTACTACTACTAATAACATTATACAAAAGCAAGTTGTCATGAATAAACTAAACAAAGCCCCTGCAGAAAGAAATCAATTTTTAATCTTTAATTCTTTTTATTTGTAAAAATATTTCTAATTTGCTGTACAAACTGTGTGTATTTAGCAATGTGTACGCAAGGCACACAACAAACGCGCTCTGCACAGGACTTTAGACCTAGTTTCAGCTGGTCTGTTGCACAGTCTATTTAGACCTTAACACACCTCTTTTCTAGACTGAAACACCCATAAATCCACAACTTTGCGCAAATAAATTTGCTATTTTAACAAAGAGGAAGAAAACGGGAAAATTAGGGTTGTGTTGGTCTGAAAATAGCAACACACTGGGGCAAACACGTCTTACACCTTATTGCGCCAGGTAGGGCCCTACAGACATTTGTCTTAAATTTTAAGGCATGGGCTGTAAAGGCACTAATATCTTATGGAAAGTAATTTGCAGTTATTGAAACACATAACTAAACAGTGCCTTAATTGCATCAAAATAGACATAACTTTTAACCTTTAATGTTTATTAGTAAAGGCTAAAATGAACACAAACTAAAATTAACAACTGATGAACACGCATTGTGTAAAAATACTGTGAAATGATACCAAAAATATTTACAATAAAGTTTAATAAATGAAAATAAATAATTGTATTAATAAATGAAATGCAAACTATTAAAGTGTATTTATGAAGCTACATCATTAATTTCCACACAAGCAAATGTAAACAGTGATGCTATCAAAATATGACTCTGTTAACTAAGAATCGAAAATAAATATTTTATATCGAATAATATTTTATACCTAATAATGTAAATGTATACCTTTGTCATTCAATTTAGTGGCAGATAAACCAACTCTTACACACAATGTGATGAATGACACTGTACTGAGAGGACATGTGCATTTATTGTGTATAAATTGTATGGTTTTGTGCAGCTGTGTTTGGTACTGTACCTTCTCCAGTTCTTTTGGTATACGCAGGCAGGTGTAGACTCTCTCTCTCCGCTCAGTGTATTTGGCCTCATTGTGTTCCAGAAAATATCCTCTAGTCAACTCAGCACTAATAAACCTCACTAGAGAGAGATCTGCACACAGACATACAAATAAACACACACATGAACGTATAGTCCAGCACAATGACACCACTTTACTCATTATTTGCAACTATCCTGCACGCACACACAGAGACATGTAAAGCATGGAAGTTTAAAATGTGAAAAGAGGATGAATAAACGAATGTACCAACATCTATCTCTCACATATGCACAAAATAATTACATTTAAATCATTAGAAAAATTACAGAAAGTTAAAAGGCAACCAAATTTCATTAATTCATTCATTTTCTTTTCGGCTTAGTCACTTTATTAATCTGGGGTTGCCACAGCAGAATAAACAGCCAACTTATCCAGCATAGGCTTTTCACAGCAGATGCCCTTCCAGTTGCAACCCATCACTGGGAAACACCCATACACTCTCACTCATACACTATGGACAATTTTAGCCTACTCAATTCATCTGTACTGCATGTCTTTGGACTTGTGGGGGAAACTCGAGCACCCAGAGGAAACCCACGTGAACACAGGGAGAACATGCAAACTCTACACAGAAATCCTAACTGACTCAGCCAAGGCTTGAACCAACGACCTTCTTGCTCTGAGGATTCAGCACTACCTACTGCACCACCGCATCACCCCCAACCTTATTTAGGTTTTGAAATTCAATTTGTGATCGCACTAGGATTAAATTACGTTTATTTTTTTGTACTAGAATGACATAACATGCTTTATTTGAATGTAAATTACAGGAGCACCTTAATTCCCAGTGTGTTTGAGGTGCTGAAAATTAAACAAGTCCCTCCTTCCAAAAAACCCAGAGCGCTCCTGACTGACCAGCTGGCCTAATTTGTTCATAAGCCAGACACTTAAAGCATGCACTGCAAATGTAGCAGTCATAATCTCCAGTTTCCACTTGTATAAATTATTCTATGTGCAATTTGATTGGAAGGAAATAACATGACTGAATCCTATTCTACAGTCAATCACTGGATAGACAAGAAGAAATAAATTGAACTGAAGTTTGATGAAAAATAGTGCAGTTAAAGTTCTATTATAGCTAAAAAAATAATAATAATAAAGTAAAGGAAAATGTATTTGATTTAGCTAAAAAAAGAAATAAAAGTAAAGGTAAATGTATTTTTAACTACTTAGTAAAGTACATTTCCTGATTAAAAACTGCTAAATTACAGTACTTGAAGTATTTGTAATTTGACACTTTAGAGCACTGACACTCATGCATATGTAATGTACAAGATACATTTATCTCAATGTGCAAATATGTTCTAAGTGTTTTTCTAAAATACCCAAAACGACAGCAGAAAGCAGCCGTTAAGCAAGCATTTAACCATAATATGGATATGTTTGCACAAGCTCTACAAATTACCTGCATCATGTGGACAGATGAAGTCATAAAATTACACTATGAAATAGTGGAGCGGAAAGAGGGGATGGATCGGCATGATAATAATAATAATGATAATAATAATATCGGCATAACATCTCGAGCCAGGAATCGAACTCGGATCACCGTGAGCACCATGGTTCTAAATGTTGGCGCAAAGTGGCAACCTCCCGCTCTCCCTCATGAAGCCAATACAGAGGGAACTGATACTGCAATTCATTCCAGATGTTCACTGTCTGCAATGGTAAATTGGCCAATTTTACAGCTGATAAAAACATGTTTACAGCCTGGTACAAAAGATGGTTTTGGTGCATATAGCTATTACCCTTCATGACAACTGTGAGGGGGTGAATTTTTTTATAACTCATCCATTTCATTCTTATTAAATTTTATTAAGTCTGCATAATTAAGGGTGTGGCCACTTGAGTAACAGCTAGGTCTCGCTGCTCGCTGTCTTGTCACCTCAGCTGATTCCGGCTGATTAGCCGCTGAACTCGACATATACATCGTATTTTTGTTTTGTTTTATGTGGCTTTACACAGTCAATTGCCTTTTAGAATTATTTCCTAAAATTATCAGATAATATGGCATGCTGTGTGCACTTAATTGTGTTCACAAACCATTCAAGTTGCCTCCATTCCCCAGGTGAGTGAAATGATATACTTATATCCCATATTTGTTTTTAAAACATGATTTACGATCATTTATCATTTATAATTTTCTTTAGAAATTAAATGCAATCCAGAATCTGACAGATTGATTAGCTGTAGGCTATGAAACGTTGTCATACAGTGTTATGCTGAGATGAAATAGCCTTATTTAAGGTTTATATATATAGTACTTCAATGTATTACAACAGTGTTTTTAAATGTCTAAACACTTTAGTTATAGTATACAAGCAAGCACATGTGGTCAGAACACAAACAATATGCAGGTAATAAAGTATTAAGCATTTCTCCCAAAGAAAAGCCTGTCTAAGCAAAATGCTAGCAGGCATTTGTAGCTCCACTGACGTTCCACCTTTTTGCCCTTATTTGGTCACCCCGGAGGGTGCGATGACGCCAGAACAAAATGGCGACGGTTGGCCACGATGGTTCATTTGCGCTCTTTAGAAACCTATGGGTGACGTCATGGATACTACGTCCATATCTTTTACAGTCTATGGTCGGCGCACTTATCCACTAGGCTATTAGCGCTGACATGATATGATAATTATCAAGATACTTTTATCACTTTACAAAGGTATTGTGATTTCAAATATATTGCAATATTCTTTGATATACTGCCATTTATTATTTTTTTCTAACTTTAAATTATGAAATTAAGGAAAACTTTTGCGAGATCTGTTTTAACTTAATGGGTAATTCCATCCAGACTAAAATAAATAAAAATCCTAAAAGTTAAATATAATAGGAAATGTTCTTGCCCTGTTAATCATCACTTGGAAAATCTTTAAAAAAAACAACAACATTTTATTCACTGCAAAAACTGCTGGGTTAAAAAAAAATCTATTTGTGTTGAAAAAACATGAAGGAATTAAGTTAAATTATTAGCTTTTACAAATTTAAGTTTTAAGTTTAACATAAAACATAAAAAACAATATTAACAATAACACAACATTAGTGTTGTTTCAGCTTGTTTTAAATGAGTATGGTTGAACAAAACAGCAAAAGGTCTTTTTGAGTGTTCTATACTAATACTTTTGTCTTCATCTGTAATAGTTGCGGTAATGCACTTGATTTACAACAGAGTAGAGCAGTGACAAATGTTCTGTTCATCGGACAGAAAGTCCTAGTCTTTTTCAGAGCATGTTTGAGTTGACCTAAGGCCAAACGTGTGGTGATAAGAGCAAGAAAGTGTCCCGAGTTGAACAGCTCACACTGCAAATGTGTTTTGTGCTTAACAAACAGTCCTTTCTATTTTTAACAGTAACAGAGAAGGATAAACTAGAGGATGAACACAGTGAAAGGGAAAACAAACAATCAGTGTGGAGCGAAAGAGTGAGAGGGAAAGAGAGAAAACAACATCTCCTGTGCGTGTAAGTGCCCTGTATTGGAGTTGTATAACAAAATGCTTCAAATCATGCATCATTCAATAAACATCCATAAGTAGCAAATCTTTTATTTTATTATCAGAGCTCATGACACTAAAAGCCTATAAAAGCATTTGACAACAAGACCTTTGGCAAAAGGGAAAACAGAGAAAACTCTCCGCTACATTTTTTGTCCATTTAAAAGGTTGATGAGGTTGAACTTTGGTCTCTTGCGATCGTGTTCTAACTCAGTGTTCTTGATACCTTTTTTTGCTTTTTAAACAAACATTTGATGGAAAAATATTTATGTGATGATTAATGTAATATTGAAATAATTTAACAATGAATAACAAGTTCAATTTTCTGAAGTGGGTCATAAAAAGTTCTGTGTTCTAACTAGCTCAATGGTTCTGTTACTTTTCTGTTACTTCTTTGGTAACATTGCAAGCTTTAGATCAGGATTTTATTCAAATATGTCTGTCCATTAAAATGTACACTGGGTTCAAGATCTGTTACTGAAATCAAATCTCCAGTAATGATGATTGAACTTTATTTTTAAAAAAACTATATTGATGTACCAATTCATTACTGAAACAATTTATTGTGCAGAATACACAGATCTTGAAGCTCTTGAGCATATTTTAGATGGAAATATCTAAGTTGTTAACATTATGTGGAGTGATGAGGAATATGAAGATTGAAGTTTGTTTTAAACATTTAATTAATTGACCGGATGTCCATTGAAATGGACAAAAAAAAAAATAAGAAAAATAAATAAATAAATAAATCTCTATGCATAAATAAATCTCTATGCATTTTCGGGACTCATAATGTCCGCAAACGAGTGATAATCTCCCGGAAATCGCTCCCTTCCAGTCTTCAAATAAGTCGCACACTCTTCTCAGGCCCAGATCCCTCCTCGCTCTTCAGACACGTCGCAAAGACATGTGGTACAGGTGAATTGGGTAGGCTAAATTGTCCGTAGTGTATGTGTGTGAATGAGTGTGTGTGGATGTTTCCCAGAGATGGGTTGCAGCTGGAAGGGCATCTGCTGCGTAAAAACGTGCTGGATAAGTTGGCGGTTCATTCTGCTGTGGCGACCCCGGATTAATAAAGGGACTAAGCCGAAAAGAAAATGATATATATTTATATTTAAAGTATAAATTAAACAGAGATGCAATTAGTCACAAAGCTCTGGATGTTGAGTTGTACAGATTTGTTATGAATTACAAGTTATAATGTGCTGTGTACAAATGGGTATGAGAAAGTATTGCATTATATATTGTGATAAGGGTGATGAATTTTTATTATTAAAATTTGGTCCCATTTATAAGAGCCTCAAGAACTGTGTAAGCATACTTTTACATTTTTTTTGAAACTTGAAACATAATTCAGGTATGAAGGTGTTTAACAAACTTATTTTATGTAAAATAATGGAAACACTTTACAATAATGGATGATTAATTAATATATTTACTATTGAACTACAATTAATTGATGCTTTACAAAATTATACATATTTCATTTCAGTAAATACATCAACTAACATGAACTAATGGACCATTGTTCTAAAGTGTTACCAAAATCTTTTATAAGAAGATTAATTTATTACTTGAAATAGTTTAACAAGTCATAAGTTAGATTTTCTGATGTAGGTCATGAAATGTTCTGTGTTCTAACTGTTCAAACGTATGTCATGTAAAATACAGATTTGAAGATTAAGTTATTTTAATCATTTAACAATCTATTACATAATATATATACAAACTAAAAAAATAGTTATTAGGTTTTCATTATCACTGTAGTTCCCTCATCAACCATAGTCTGGAAAAGTTTGCATCTGTTTTGTGTAAAGCAAAAGCTACTGTAATTTTAGTAGCATTATCTTTGCGTAACCTCACATAATAAAATACTCACACTAAATTACTGTAGGGTTTACCACAGTCCCATCGTCTGTTCTGTCTTGTGAATATTTGCAGGGTCTGTTCAATAATAATAACTATAAGCACTAAAGATCATTTTATTTTAGGAATACAAGTAGCAGTTCTTTGTTATTGAATATTTTCAGATCTTAAAATCTTATATGTGGATTAAATAAAAAATTCCAATTCATATTAAGTGTATTAAACTGCTACCTAATAACATTAATCAACTGATTAAATGAACTATTATTAATGGAAGTAGACATAGCTAAAAGGATAGTTTACAAAAAGCTAAAAATTCTGTCATCGTTTACTCATTCTTTATATATTGGAAACCAGTTTGATTTTCTTTCTTCTGTTGAACACATAAAAAAAGATATTCAGAAGTAAGCTACGTTTTCATATTATTCAATTAATTTTAAATTGTACATACCCACTGTACATATACATTTGTAATTATTTTCACATCTATTGGCAATCTTCTGATTATTAATAGCAATCTGTACATATATTTATCTATTGCTAATGTCTGTTCATAGCTAATACAACCTGTATAAAATGTTTATAGTACATCCATCTGTAAATATTACCCACAGGTTTTCTATAATTGCACTTTATATCCTGCACTTGCTGCTATTAGACTCCTGGTTAGACCTAAACTGCATTTCGTTGCCTTGTACTTGTACAGGTGTAATGACAATAATATTGAATCTAATCTAATCTTATCTAAATTTTAGGTTTCCCAAACGTATATTTATTAGTATTCAACAGAATACAGAAACTCATAAAGGTTTGAAAACACTTGTTGAGAGGAGTAAATTTTTTATTTTGGAGTATACTGTCCCTTTTAAAGCAGAGATGCCCAAAGTAGGGTCCACGGGCTAAAGTTGGCCCAATGTAACCTTTAATTTGGTTCACCATCCCATCTGAGGGGAGAGTGAGAATTATGGAGATGGTGGCAAATGCATTTAGCAAAGAGACTATAATTTCTAATTTGACATAACCTTTTTTGTATTTTATTCCTAAACTACAAAAAAAACTAACTCAAATTAAATGTTTCAATTAAATGTTGTTAACGAATCAGATTTTTAAAAATGTAAATACTGTCACTCAAAGAATAGAGGACAATGCAGAAGACATCGGTGAGCAAATCAAGGTAAAAACTAGTGTAATTCTGTTATACATTTGATTGTTTTGTTTTATTATAAAATGTTTTTAAAAAATATTAGTTAACATATAGCAATGGTTTCTAGTTATTTTTAAACATTATTAAAATAAATTAAGAAATTAGCCATGGCAAATATGTTTACCTTTGGCCTACAAGCCTTAATCAAGTTTGGATTTTTGACTCTTCGTAAGAAAAAGTTTGGTCACCCCTGCTTTAAAGGGATCTATAAATGTTATTTTTAGTGTGTACTTACCTCATTAACATATCAGTGATTATTTACATGTAATTACGGATTTTAAATTTAAATCAACGTTTTATTGTATTTCTAAATGTACATATTATTGCATTACATAATGCAAATAGAATTACTGTTCCTAAGCAACCCTGAGTAAACACATCTATGGCGCTACACCAGCTTTAACCTTAACACTTGCAGCATCATTACCTCAATGTCTGCACTAGGCACTATTTATTTGACTGTGAACAATGTGGTACTTTCATAATCACTGGCTGCTATTGTGATTTCACTATTTAGATTTTGAAAATAATAATTTTCTGAAATTATATTATTAAGAAATTCTGAATAGGTGAACATAAAACAAACTTTAACTCAATTCTAAAGTAAATGCAAAAAGCTCGGCGGAAGAAGCTGAGCTTAGATCTCAATTTACATCTTTTACTTTACACCTGATCAGCTGTCTTGATCCTCATGCTTCTAAAGTTAGTCGCAATATAGCGGCTGAATGTTACATGAGCCACACTGGTATTTACATTACCTTAAATAAAGCCACAGATGCCAAACTATCTGATCTCGTTAAAGGTAAATACGCTCCGGAGGCTGATGATGCTTCAGACAGTATAACGTTATTGATGCCTTGAGCTTTATGCGTGTCTGTGTCAAAACAAGCATTGAAATAAGCTGCTTAACGAGACATTAGTTGGCTTCTTGTAACGTTTAAATCGCACAATGAAATCCTTAACGTACTTATTATGTTGCCCATACACGCTATGTAAACAACTCACGAGGCTGATAAACAGTGTGTGGGTTTGAGAGCTCAGAGCCGCTGTCACTCTTACCTGACACATTGGTCTTTCTGTCTTTGCATTTCGCCTTCCTCTCGTAAAATCCCAGCGTTTCTGTGACGTCTGAAGCAGCGGCTTGTTTCTCCATCTTTTTGACGCCACTAAAGAGTCGCTTCTCCCTCTCCTTGTCCTCATTTTCAGTCTCGTTTTCGTCCCCGAGCCCAGCCGCTACCGAGTCCGCCATCTTCCCCACAGACACAACATTCAGGCGTCACGCGTACGTCACTACACATGACTACAATTCCCACAATGCTACTGGTAACGTTAGAGTTCATGAACGAAGAAGGTTTTTTTTTAGTCTCATCCTAATACAATATATTTACTACAGCGGAATGAACCGCCAACTTATCCAGCATATGTTTTAGGGATGCCCTTCTAGCTGCAACTCATCACTGGGAAACAACCATACACACTCATTCACACATATATATTTCGGACAGTTTAGCCTATTCACCTGTACCACGTCTTTGGACTTGTGGGAGAAACCAGAGAACCCGGAGAAAACCCACGCGAACACGGGAAGAACATGCAAACTCCACACAGCAAAGCCAACTGACCCAGCCGAGACTTGAACCAGCGACCTTCTTGGTGTGAGGCGAAAGTGCTTTTATATATATTTACTCATTCATTTGTATTTAATTAAATAATTATATTACTCATTATTTCTTACTTATGTGTATGATTTAATGAAGTTTGTAATTTATTTAATCTCAGCTGTTTTTATTTGACTCTTTCGGTAATATATTTTCATCATTATAAATATTATATTGGCCTAATGTTAATCCATTTTATTTATTTTGTTTCTTTAATACAGTCTTTATTTGTCCTAATCATCAAATATTTGAACATTTGAATATCACTGATATTAATATATATATATATATATATATATATATATATATATATATATATATATATATATATATATATATATATATATATATATATGTACACACACACACACACACACAAATATACAGTGTACTGCGATCCACACGTACCACGTTTGACCACTAGAGGGGGAAATAGATTCAAAGTTTTATTTCCCAATATTGGGTTGCTGTGCTTTAGGAGTGTAAACCCCATTTTTATTATGTAGTTAAATAATAAATAAATAATTAAAAAATAAATAATTTTGCTAAATAATTGTGTCTATTAATTTACATCCTCATTTTAACAGTTTAAGCACATTTTAAAGGTTTATTTGACAATCAGGTTCATTTAAAGCAATACAAATATATATGTATATATTTAATACAAACAAAAATGTTAGAAAATTTAATGCATTTTTAAAAGATATACATAACATATTAACCTTTTCTACAAATTCATGTTTTTATATGCTGTGAATTGTACTGGGCTGCACAGTGGGTAGCACGATTGTCTCACAGCAAGAAGCTCGCTGGTTTGAGCCCCGGCTGGGTCAGTTGGCGTTTTTGTGAGGAGTTTGTATGTTCTCCCCGTGTTTGCGTGGGTTTCCTCTGGTTTCCCCCACAAGTCCAAAGACATGTGCTAAAGGTGAATCGGGTAAGCTAAATTGACCGTAGTGTATGTTTGTGAATGTGTGTGTATGGATGTTTCCCAATGATGGGTTGCAGCTGGAAGGGAATCTGCTGTGTAAAACATATGGATAAGTTGGTGGTTCATTCCGCTGTGGCCACCCCAGATTAAAAAAGAGACTAAGCCGAAATGAATGAATTAATTAATTGTATTGAAAATTTTATATTAAATTATTTAACTAAATTGTTAATTAGATTAATAAATAAATATATACATTTATCATTTAAAATATTTGAAAATTGAATATATTTAACATTTAACAGATATATTTTATTGAGCTGCACATCAACAACATGGCATCTAGCATATTTAGAAACATTTTGGCCAACTTTTTCTACTCTGCAGTCCATCTGATGATGTCAGTTTCATGCCGCTCTTACCGTTAGTTTGCTGTGAGGGAAAATTAGAGGAGGAGCAAAAAATAAAACCCCACCCCACTCAGCATCTGTTGAAAATGACCCATCCTAGTTAAGCAGAAGTCTTTGATATAAGTCAGATTTTTTTCTGTTACAGTAATAAAAAGTTTCCCCTTAATTATTATTTAAATGTTTCCCATAATTTTAATAACAAAACAGATGTTATATCATAACCAAACACATTTTATTAATGCAAATTATTGAAAACAATACATAAAATACACAACTAACAGCACAAATCTGCATGTGTTTTACATTATGCATTAAACTTTACAGCAATAAAGATATCTGCGTTTACGCAATAGCGTTCACAATGGGACCTTTTTTTCATTAAGTTGTAGGGAAACCAAACAGTACGGTACAGAATGAAGCCGAGACATCCACCAAGCTTTAAAAAAGGGCTGAAAAATTCAGATATGAAATGAACTGATAGATCTGTGTATTTACAAGGCTTGCAGTGTTTGTTTTTAGGCTTTTTTCTTTCTTTCTGAATACTTAAACTACAACATCAACTCTGAAATAGCTGGGATATTTTGTAAAATGAAACAAAATAAATACGATTTTGACCTGTTAATTCTCGTTAACCTGTGTTTAACCTTGTTTAAAGATGGCTGCAACACACTCCAAGTAATTTGGGACAGAGGGGACAAGTTTAACATGGTGTCACATGGTGTCAATCACAGGCAGAAAACTGAGACCTGAACTCTCAAAATGACATTTGCTGTTTGTTCAACTGATCTAAAAATAAGCTGAAACAACACAGTTCTTAAGTTTTTTGGATCGAGTGAATTTTTTTAAAGTTCAATCCACTTAAATGTGTAAAAAACTAATAAATTACCTTAATTCCTTCATGTTGCCCAAGCACAAATCGATAAAAAAATTAATCTTAAAAGGCATTGTTACCGCAAAAAAAAAAAAATTACCAGGTAATTTAAACAAATTTACATAAATGAACTCATCCAAGATGTAGGTGACTTTTTGCTTCAGGAAAAAATTAAAGAAGATTTTTAGCTGAATCTGTGGTCCTCGGTGCTTTGTTTAATGCCAAGTCAATGGTCATCCAATTTTTTGATTAAAAATAAACTAATACAAACAAGTCTAAATCATTGCACTGCACTGTTTGCTCAGGCTCTGGAAGCTAATAATATTGTACATAACTGATTGTTTGATTTCGTAAGACCTTAGTTTTGTCATCAGGAGCCATGCTTATTAATTTGGACCTGTTTGTATGTGTTTATTTTTAATCTAAAAAAAAAGGTAACCATTGACTGCCATTATATGAATCAATTTGGACCATACATTTGGTTAAAAATCTTCTAAACTCTCAAAAATAATGGTACAAAATATTTTTTGTACCATACTGGTGAACATTAGTACCTCCAGGGTAGACTTTTGTATTTTAAAGGTTAAATTTTGTACCTCTAAGTTACTTCGAGGTACACATTTGTGGTTTTAGGTATTAATATGTACCTTATAAGGACCAGTTAGAAACAAAAATGTACCTTTTAAAAAGGTACCGCCCCAGTGACAGATTATGTCTCATTATTTCTGAAAGTGTCCTAAAGAAAAAAGGTTCGGTGAGTAAATTAATTTATGTGTGAACTATCCCTTTTTTGGCTCTCTGTGCTATTCCAACATATGCCTCAATTTCAATATTACTGTGGCACAGTTGCCCATGCCAATGCTCTGCCGCTCTTCATACCATGACAGACGTTTGATTTTTTCATCTGTCACTCATTAAAGTCAGGATGCTGTGTTTAGTGTTTGAGAACTCATCGTCTGTTTTTTTTCCTCAGAAACAAGTTGAAATGTGGACTTATCATGTCCACTCTGTTACGACTCTGATATGAGTAGGCATGGGATGATAACCATTTTCAAGGTATAGTAGGGTTTGAAAAAGTCAAGGTTTTAAATCCGCCAACATTTTCTGCTATACCATTCCTATAGTATATGTAAAAAATGTATTTATGTTTTTTTGTGTTGTTTTTAGGACACCAGTATCTCTAGCAGAAAAGATATCCAAAGACGCAATTTTAAATTGCAATGAAATCTGTGTTTTTGATACAAATGGAGACAGCAGAAGTCAATAGCCCCTTTCAAACAGTGATAACGGTAAAATTCCGGAAAATTACCGGAACAACATTGCCGGTAAATTTTAAAAAATGCTATTCACATGGGCAAAAATGCTCTGGAATTTTTCTGAAAAAGACCATTCACATATCCGTACCAAAATACCGGTAAATTCTGACATCATCAACCAGAAATGAGCTCTAAACGGCTGCGCTTGTATTTGTAAACAGAGAAGGGGTCGGGCTTTTGTTGATGGTTGATGGTGCATAATATGTGTGTGTGCTGGCGCTCACCGCCTGCTTCACGTGCACACGCATCAAGCAACTGAAGCAGAGCTTGAAGGTAAACAAACAGCGGCTTATAAGACTTTTATCGATAATCTTTTCCACAGTTGGCATTAAGAAAGACCATTGAAACGTTATCTGGCTTTTATTTTCATAAACAGCGCAGACGGGAATGCGTATAAATGTTCTGATTGGCTGGAGTAAGCGTCTCACGTCAGTGCGTTCTAATCATGACCGTGCTCTTTCCGGCAATCTTTCTTCTGCGTTCACACAGCACAGCATTCTGGCAATGTTACAACTTCTCTTTCCAGGAAATTCCTAGAAAAAAATTCCCGGTATTTTTAAAAAGGGCCTGTTCACACATAATCCCTTTCCGGAAAATTGCCAGTGATTTTCCGGAAAGGTCTGTATGTGTGAAAGGGGCTAATGATTCATTTGAATTATTTAGCCTGAAATGCTGCTCCAAAATATCTTTACCTAGACATTTAAAAAGAATATATTTCAGAGCAGTAATCACAATACCGTCAAACACTGTGATATTTTTATCCAAGGTTATCATACCCTCAGTATCTTATACCTGCCCATGTATATATACGAGCTCTGGCCTGCAGAACACAGCACAGAACTGACCAATAGCTTTCACTTTGAATAACAAAGATTTACGTACATTTCTTTAAGGATGTCTTGATGCAGTGGCAGACTGTGTTAAGCGACGGTGCTTTTACTAAGTGAATGTAATTGAATGGGATTTTTTGGTGATGTCATTGGCTCATGAACATATCCTGCTTGTGATCAAACTCTTTCATAACTGTAACAAGAGGCAGTTCAATTATAACTTAATGTTAAAGCAGCTATCATAACATTGTTTATCAATATGTGGCTTTCTTTGGACTCTCAGAAGCTCTAGAAATTAAAACTGTAGAACAGTAAATACGTTGGGACCCTTGTTTTTGTTTACATCTCTCAAAACGGTCTATACCCAAACATAAACCATCATGAATTAACAGGTCTCTAGTTTATCATTGACTGTTCATTTGCGTATGCTATAACCTTTTCTCTAATATTTTGCCAACATTTTTGCAGCCATTAAAATCAAATTTTGCTATATATCAACAAAATACGTTTACATTTGTCAGAGAAAACATTGAGGAAATCTTTTCAGGTTAAAAAGAATGAACAAGTCAGTTTCTCCATTTCACTGCATTTGACAAAATCGATCACCTTTTCAGAATTTGGGTTGTAAATGGTTGAAGCTGTATGTCTCAAGTATGGAAAAACATGTCACACCAACATAAACGCAAGCATGCACACTCACACACACTCACACACACACCTTCTCTCCAGCAGCTTTTCCTCTACAGTTGAAAATACCCCCATCCCTTGGCAGAACCGTTGCCATAGCAACCCACTGTCAGATCACATTACTCCAGCTGCTGCGTTGCCATGGTATCAGGCTTACTGTCCTGGTTGCTAGGGTGCTGACCGTTCCAGGAGCCACCGTTTCCGAGTGTGGGTGAGTTGGTGTAGTCATGGAGACCGTCGTCATGGAGACCGTTGACAGGGTCATATTGTTCGTTCTCTAGGCGTGTGATCAAACGCTCGTCCACGTCACCCAACTCCCCTCCCATTAGAGAGGGCTCCCCTACCACCATCACATCCTACAGCAACATACAGACAGAGAGAAGGAGAAAGAGAGAGAGCGAGAGAGAGAGAGAGTTGATGTAAACAGAGACACAGGGGGTCGAGAAAGAGAGAGAGAGAGATTGGCGGGGGTGTAGAAAGAGAGAGAACAAGGACACAAGCAGAATCATTTATGGCTGTTATTCTCGAGAATTCTACAGCTAATGCAAGCATACAGAAGAAACTGTTTAAAATATGTGTATGATAATGAATATCTTTACACAGAGCTATGAAAAAATTATAAGATCACTTGAAGAATATCTGGATTTAGAATAGATATTGGTATTCTTTTCTTCTACAATGGTGCGATGCATTTTCTTCATCTTATTAATATTATTATTTTATTTTTTGAAAAATATAGAAAGCCGCTGTGTTTTCAGACATGTATCTTTTAGTTTAGACAACACAATAGACGTCTTTTTCACATTACAAGCATTAATAATTCAATATTTGTTGTAATAATTATGATTTTCAATCAAAAAAACACAGAAATGTGTTAATCTGACCTGAACTAAATTTCTCTTAACCCTAAGCCTGCCTGCTCTACCAAATGGTTGAGCATGTTTTGACTGTTTTAAAACTTTAACTACCCCACCAAGAAAATAATGTTTGGATTGCATTTCTTAATTCCGAATTAAACACATTTAATTAATTTTTTTTTCAACACATTCCCTAATTTTTTAAATATCAACCTTGATATGTTGATTTATGGTCCTGGGTTAAGAACTGGGCTTAATACATATAGACCATTTCAATGTGGTGATGTCATTGGCTCATGAACATTTCCTGCTTGTTATCAAACAAGTTATTTCATAACTGTAACATGAGGCAATTCATTCATAACTTAATGTTAAAGCAGCTATCATAACATTACTTGTTAATATGTGGCTCTCTTTGGACTCTCAGAAGCTTTTGAAGTTTAAAAATGTAAAAAGGAATACGTTGGGGCCATTGCTTTTGTTTATATTCCTCAAAATGGTCTATACTATGAAAAACCAAAAAAAATATGAAGTGTAAGACCAATTTATTTAAAAACATAAATCACAAATAAAACATTTTGAACACTAAATCACCTTTTTAAGTATGCCATAAAATATTTCAGATTCTCATTTAATAAGCTTTCTTGTTTTGTTTTGTTTTTGTTTTTACAATAAAGACAAAATCAAGTGTAGTAGTTCAACAGGATTATGTTTGTTTGCTTCTTTTAAACCAACAATGCTGTGTGTAAACCATTATTTAAAACAGTTATTATTTGAATGACTTTAACTGTCATTATTTTAACTGCTCTACCAAACGGTTGACTATGTGTTGACTAATTTAAATAATGGTTTACACAACACAGCATTGTTAGTTTACCAAAAAATCCAACAGACATAATCCTGTTGCACTACTACACTTGATTTTGGTTATTTGTAAAAAAAACAAAGAGGCATGAAGCATGTTAAATGAGAATCTAAAATATTTCATGGTATACTTCAAAAATTAGAGATGATTTAGTATTTAAAACTGTTTAATTTTGATTATGACTTTGGTCCGTGTATCTTCAGTTCAAACAATCATTTCATTTATTCTAGGAAAGAAAACACCAGAAAAACAGTCAATATTTCATTTTTCAGTTTATTCTAAGCACAAAAAAGCTTATCTGTTCTCCTGTTTTTAGCTGAAAACGGAGAATTAAAACAAACACAAAACAAAAACTAAATAATGAGTAAAAAAACTATTTTATTAGTTTGATCAAAAAAACAAACACCAAAAAAAAACAAAAAAACAAGATTTCAACGTGTGGGCGTGCATAAAACGCACCTTTTTCTGCCGATTGGTCAATAACTATGAGGCGCTGTAGGATTTAAATAAATTAATAATTTAAATATCGAGTTTATATTCATATGTGGGAGTTTTAGGGCGCATATGCATAGATCGAGTATATAGGTACATGCGAGTGTATATGTGTGTGTGTATCTGAGTGTTTGCATGCATATATATATATATATATATATATATATATATATATATATATATATATATATATATATATATATATCATTTATATTGTTTTGTACATCCAATAGTATAGGTGTATATGCGAGTAATTGATAGGTGTATATGTACCTGTTTTATGCATGAGTTGATAAGCGAAGTTTGTTTTAAGTCCTACAGCCTTTTAGCTATTGACCAATCAGTGTAAAACAAGGGGCATCTCCATCTCGTGCACGTCTACACATTGAATGTTTTTTGAATAGTTTTTGTTATTTCATTTTTGTTTTGTGTTTTTTTTTATTCTTAATTTTAAGTTATAAACAGGATTACAGTTTATTTTTTATTTTTTGTAATAAACAGTAAAACAAAATATTGACTGTTTTTCTTGAGCTTGATTTTCCAGAATAAAAAGCATTATCGAATGAATGGATTATGCACGGGACATTTTTTTTTATAAATTGGTCTTACACTTCATATTTTTCATATTTTTTTATAGTATATTATTCTGGCACTTTTACCATAAACCGACATATCTACCATTTGGTAGAGGTTGATATATTAGAAATTATGGGATGTGTTTAAAAAAAAAAAAAAGCATTAAGTGTTAACATTAGGGGTTAAGAAATGCAATCCAAAAACTGACAATACTTTCATTTAAAATTTTGAAAAAAACTCATCACATCCATAATAGAATAAAAACATTATTAACATTTTAATAAAACATAAAACAATGATTCCATTATCAATTATGTCTTTTTTTCATAGCCGTATATAAAAGAAAGCTAATCTTTGTTAAATACGCAGCCATACGCATACACACACATGCACACAAACTTGTCTCCAGATACTAGCTCTATGGTCTTTAATTAGATTTTTTTTTTCAGATAGAGAACACCTAAATAACAACATATGTGCTAATTAAGCAAATTTGCATTGCTAAGTAGCTCGTTAAAACAGCACATGCTGCGTGATAACTGTCTGCATGTGTCACTCACCTACCTAAGCTCCGCCTCCAGCCACCCGCCACCCCTCGTTTCCCCGGCGACACGTTTAGGCTGGGGACCAGAGACGGACAATACTAATTATCATCAAATCAATTACGGCTAATTAGTCTCAATTACAAACAAATTACTCAGAGCACACAAATGACTATATATTTAAAAAATTGTGTAACATTACAAATTACAAGCACACTGGAAACTGATTGTTACTTAGTAGAAACAATACAAACAGTGTTTAAATGAATAACACATGGCATAAAACTGTTACAATGTGGAAAAAAATAAAATGGGTTAATTTGCTTAAGCTGCTCTCTCTCTCTCTGTCCTCTCTCTCTCTATTATTGTTATTGCTTTACACACACACACACACGCTTATACACACAAACATACGTGTACAGACATCCACACATCCACTGTATTTGAATTTTAACATAGTATATCTCTTCTATATGATCTTTTCAGTGTAAACCACTGCTTCTCTGCAAGTGTGTATTTAACCGACTATGTTCAGAATCGAATACGTTACAGGAAGTGCACGACATAGTTTCCAATTAAAGCACAATCATTTACATAAGAATGGTGTTTTGGGGTCTAAAGTGCATTTTAAAGAACACGGGAAAAAAAGATCTGTATAAATGACATAAAAAATGTGATTTTATGAAAACAATTACATAATGTGCATGCATATATTAATTGTAAAGTGATGTCACATGAGTTCTAATTACTCAAATGAATCCAGGTATTATATTTACTACTATTGCATTTAGCTTACTTTTTTTTTTTTTCATCTAAAACTGTCTTAACATTTGGTAATGTAATGAAGAAATGCTGCTGCATCTATTAAACGCTGTAAATGGAAAGATCAAGTAATTCAAGAAATCCATTAATGTTTTTGGCATTTAAAACTTATTTGAATTGATTATATGTCAGTTCTTAAAGCATCTCAAACTGAGCATTTGATACTGATTAATAATAAATAGCAAAATATAGATTAATGCCACAATTCCTTTATTATTTTTTTTTTGTTTCAATACATTTCTGTAGAAATAAATATTTTAATGAAAAAATATCATTGTACATTTTTTAACATGCTCTTCTTAAAATGTATGCTGCTCTTATTTTTATGGGGGTTTTAAACAGTGATTTTACGGTGTCACACATGCAATTACAAAAAACACCAGCAAATTAAGAAAAGATCTTCATCCATTTGACAACACAAACGCTGCAAATCCTCACAACACAAACAAATTAATAAAACACGCTGCATTTTGTCAAAAGAGAAAAAAAAAAAACGTGCTGCATTTTCTCACAACCAAAACAATATAAAAATAATGTGCTACATTTTCAAACAGCGCAAACAAATTATTAAAACGCACTGCATTTTGTCATAACGGAAATAAATTAATAAAACACGCTGCATTTTGTCAAAACGGAAATAAGTTAATAAAACGCACTGCATTTTGTCATAACGGAAATACATTAATAAAACGCACTGCATTTTGTCAAAACGGAAACAAATTAATAAAACATGCTGCATTTTCTCAAAACACAAACAAATAAATAAAACGCACTGCATTTTGTCATAACATAAATAAATTAATAAAACGCGCTGCATTTTGTTAAAACGGAAACAAATTAATAAAACGCTGCATTTTCTCACAACACAAACAGATAAATAAAACGGACTGCATTTTCTCATAACGCAAACAAATTGATAAAACACACTGCATTTTCTCACAACACAAACAAATAAATAAAATGCACTACATTTTCTCACAACACAAACAAATAAAAAAACGCACAGAATTTTCTCACAACACAAACAAATAAATAAAACGCACTGCATTTTCTCACAATGCAAACAAATTAACAAAACACTCTGCACTTTTTCTCAACGCGAACAAATTAATAAAACACGCTGCATTTTCACACAATGCAAACAAATTAATAAAACACACTGCATTTTCTCATAACGCAAAGAAATTATTAAAACACGCTGCATTTACTCAAAACGCAAACTAATTAATAAAACGCACTGCATTTTCTCATAACGCAAACTAATTAATAAAACGCACTGCATTTTCTCATAACGCAAACAAATTATTAAACTGCACTTCATTTTCTCACAACACAAACAAATTAATAAAACGCACTGCATTTTCCCACAACACAGGTGAGGATTTGCAGCACGTGTGCTGTCAAACAGATGAAGATCTTTTTTCAATTTCCTGCCGTTTTTTGTAATTTTCTTAAACTGCAGCACGTTAAGCTTTCTCGGCCACTGTAGACATTACCTGTTTGAAATGTTGAGCTGAATATTTTGGGCATACAGAAAATTAGCATACTGTAAAAAAACAGTATACATACATAGTAGACAATGACCAACAGTCACTGTTTATATTTAAGCAATCTGTGTCTATTATATCTTTATAATATGTTATATGTTTGGTACAAATGATTTTCTCCCTAACTTAGGCAACGTATGTAGTTTTTATTTCTTTAAAAAACACATTAAAAAATTATATTTAAAATAAGAGATGAATTTACAATGCCATTCTGAAATATGACCTTGGAGTATATCTTTTGACAGTAATAAAAAGCTACACATTATCAGGTATATTAAAAAGAATGTTGCCATTTTTATCACTGTAATCAAGATCCAATCATAATTCTTTCAATATTTCACAAATGATTTTATTTTGGCCAGGGAGTATATATTGTAATATTGCAGCAATAGTAGAGTGTCATGGTAGTATGCCATATATACATTCTGAACCTAGCCTTATGCTGAATTAGGAATCGTATACTAACATTCTTCCCAAGGTAATAGTCTTACCAAGGCAGAAATATTAAAGAGTAGAATGCTAGTATGCGCTTCTGAATTCTGTGTGCTTCTGAGGGGTGTTTTCTGTGATGTACCTGTGAGGGTAGGCTGAAATTATTGGCTGGGCTGCGCTTCTTGCTGTTTCCTGTGCTGCTATTGGATGCACTGCCGGCTGAGTTCCTCCTCCTCCGTCTTTTTGCTGGTGGTTTGGCTTGCTCTGCTGTCAATCCAAACACAAAAGCAGTATAAAGTAAATCCAACCAACACTGCATTACATCAGTGGTGTAAAATATATCAAAACAGTTGAAAAAGTGGGTGAAGGGATAGTTTAATCAAAAAAAATTTTGTCATCATTTACACACCATCCCCTTGTTTTAAACCTGTTCGAGTTTCTTTCTTCTACAGCATTTAACGCAAGATAAGATATTTTGAAAAATGTTTGAAACCATTAACTATTTCCTTTCATAGTATTTGTTTTACCCTACAATGGACAAACAAGTTTTTTTTTTCTTCTAAATATCTCCTTTTTTGTGTCCAACAGAAAAAGAAACATCATGAAGGTTTAGAACCAGTGAAGGGTGATTAAATAGTGAGCAGTTCTCATTTTAGATATTAACTATTTCTTTTTAAGACTAATGTAAGTAGTCATTGCATACTATATATCTGTTTTAAAACACAATGCAATTGAAATCAGCATGGTAAGAGTGGTAGAAGAATAAACAAAGGTCAAGATGATATTCTAATGATATTCTTTAACAATTACTGAGGGGAACTGATTTGCATTTCCTGAGGGAAAGCCAGTGCGTGCGTGGAGATCATTTTATATTTTAGGCTTCTTTTTTGAGTACATGAAACTGCTTTGCTGTTGTCATGACACTTGAATATGAGTTATTTTTTGTTTCTACTGTAGCTTAGAACAAAAACCAGCGCATATACACTACATTTATTCATAGGTACAGTACATTGTAAAAATGACTGTTAACAGATTAACAGATTTTGTGTTTTCCGTTTATTTACAGATGTAAATTTCATTATGGGACCTTGATCTCTGCTCTGTCTACTTTTCCATTCAATCATTCATTCATTTTCCTTTGACTTGGTCCCTTATTCATCAGGGGTCACCACAGCAAAATGAACCAGCAAATATTCCGGCATATGTTTTACGCAGCAGATGCCCTTCCATCCGCAATACAGTACTGGGAAACACTCATACACTCTCACATTCACACAACAAAATGACTTTTATTGACATTTTGACAGTTTGAAAAATAAAATCTATTTAGTTAATATGTAAATATGTAATATAACAACGTTTATTACAAGGTTTTGTACTGTAATATAAAACACCAAACCAAACAATATATCACTTTAAACTATATATAAAAATAAAACATTACTATAAGTCTCTTTTTCCAACTTTTCAAGATTAAAAGAGGAAAGATTATAGCCCCATAATGCAATTCAAAAGCGTAAACAAACGTGGATCATAAATTGAATCATATGTATTGATTTTTTACTACTCATACTACAAGCAGTATTTTAAGCAGTTAGATCTACTGAAAACCAGTCATGCATTATTTAAGTAAATACTCGTCATATATAGGGCCCTACATCTGGCACAATAAGGCGCATGAGGTGTTTGCCGCGACGTGTTGGTATTTTCAGATGAGTGCAACCTTACTTTTTCTGTTTTCTGCCACATTGTTAAAATAGCAAATCTATTTGCTCCACTTTGTAGACTCATAGGTGTTCCTGTCTAGAAAAAAGGTGTGTTAAGGTGCATTGTTGGTGCGATGCTACAGTATTTTGAGGAACTAAAATAGACTGTTTAATAGACCAGCTGAAAGCAGGTCTAAAGTCCAGCTCAGAGCGTGTTAGTTACCTGTTAGCGACCTAAACGCTTACACAGGTTAGGCAGCAATGTGCAAATATCTTTAAAAAAAGAAAAATAATTAAAGATATAAAATGGTACAAAAATTATTATTTTTTACATAAATATAAAAACCACTGCCTCCATGCCTTCTTCATGTCGGGGGGCTTTTTTCAGTTTATTCATGACAACTTGCTTTTGTATAATGTTATTATTATTAGCAGAAGTATTTATTATTTGAGTAATTGTTTTTATTTGTTTTATTAAGAACAAGCTTACATTTGTCCGCCTGGCAGGTTTTGGACCATATGGGGCATAGCATGTGTGTTTGGATATAACTCAGTGTTTTTACCACACTTCGTTATTATTGCTCATTTATTAGTTTGCTTGAAATTGAATTCACTGACTGAATTTAGAAATAGCTTTGAAACAAATCTTTGTGCTCAACAAATGAAATTAATTATGTAGGTTAATAAATGTCTTCAGCGAGTGTACAACCCCATTTCCTTACTCTCTGAATAAGAGAAATTGAAAGAGAAAGTAAAGAGGCCAAATAGAGAAAGCTCATTCTTTATCCTCTCTGCAGATGATCTGTTCAACAGTTTTTTTGCTAGTGAAGCGTTCAGTTTTTCCGCCATGTAAATAGCAATTACACCATGGCGTGACACAACTGACTCTTAAATAGAATGGGAGAGAAGACTCTGATTGGTTTAATGCACATAATTCTCAAAACACACCCAAAACTCATTAGAAGAATAAACACAACACTGTTAGACCGTGCGCTGGGGCACAGAACGTATTTTTCCATCCTTAAAATAGCGAAAGTGTATTTGGACACGCCCTTAATGCTTTTGTGCCATGTGCTTTAGACTTTGCGCCTAGATCATTAAAATAGAGCCCATAATGAGCAAAATGTTGATTACATTTTGAATGCAGGACATTGTAGGACTCTTAAAAAATAATACTTTTTTTTATATAAAAGTTATAAAATAAATTTTAAAATTACATAGTGTAAAGTGTAAACCGATAAAAATAAAGATAAACCGATGATTTTTCTTGTTTGTTTTTTATAGCAGTGTACATATGCATATATACCTAATGATAAAATCACATAGATTGGCATACATACATTTTTTGGGATTAGAAGGAAATATTTCTGTCTTGAAGTTGGGTGAGGGTCCAACTGAAAAGAAGAAATGAATAACAGTCAAAAGACACTAAAGGCATTCTGAAACAAACATATAATGATGAGAATGCAAAAGAATGAGAAAGAGAGAAAGAATTGAGGAAGAAGAAGAATAAAATAACTGTTTAGAGTAAAGGAATTATTGTCACTGAACAGCAGGAGGTATTATTATTTTTAAAACCAGCAGTAAAATAACACATAAATAACAAAACAAGGTCAAAGCTTTCACTAATTACCACAGATCAGAAAAACCCTTAACAGCCTGTGCTCAGTACTTTGAAATGTTAATAAGGCATATGAAATATGTTTACCATGTATGAAACAAACTACTGTAAATTTAATGACATTTTGTAGCTCTAAAAGAGCAGAACAACAGAAAGGAATTAAACGCTTAGGGGGAAAGAGTAGCTAAACAATGCTGGCATTACTGCGGCACACTGTATTTAAGAGAGAACCAAAGCTAAGAGGAGCCACGAATCAAGATCTAATGAAAATGTGGGAGGAAGGCTATTACGGTACTCTAAAACTGAAAGTACACTCAAAAAATACAGGTTATTTATCAGCATATAGGATTTCATGAGGGACCTTTATCTGCTGTCTATTAAACTTACACAAAATAGGCTTCTTTAAATTCAAAGAAAATGTTGCAGTTTACTGTTAGAACATTAGGGAAATCAAAACAATTACTTATTATCACTGAAAAAAACATCATGGTTGAGCCTTTATAACTAAGAGTGTAAACCAACAAACCATTTCATGAATAAACTGAATAAATGTTCATTTAAATCTAAACTTGTTAAATAGACATTTCAGCTAATGCCAAGGCAACATTTATAATAAAATAGCTACAAACAAATAATGAAAACTATTAAAAATGTTATGAATGATATAAAATATGTTATAAAAAAATCTAAATAATTTTTAAATAAAATAGGAAGTTAAGACTTTAAGATAAGATTTTAACTGAAATAAAGATAAAAAGCAGTCTCTGAGGTGTTACCTTTTTAAAAAAATTTTAATCTTTGAGGGAAAAAAATATTACTCATTAGCATCACTGCCAAAAACCAATAAAACATTTTCATTAGTAAATTTAAACTGAATAAATGTTAAATGCAAAATTATTATTTAATAAATACTATTAAAATGTTTCAATTAAATATATTATAAACATTTTAATGAATTAAAACTTATCAGGAAAATGTGAATAAAATAAAAACTTAAGCTGAAATAAAGATGAAAAGCTGTCGCTTACATTTTTTACTATTTTTAATGTTTGGGGAAATCAAAATGATTGCTTACTAGCATCACTGCCAAAACCTCATGAAGGAGCCTTTATAATTAAAAGTGTAAACCAATAAAACATTTCCATTAGTAAATCTTAACTGAATAAATGTTAAATGCAATATTAAATTAACAAATAGACAACTTATTAGTATTTCGGCCAATGTCAAAGCAACATTTTTTTCTAAAATAAGCACAACAAACAAATACAAATTAATAAAAAAACTATTAAAAAGTTTCGATTAATATATATTTTAAACATTTTAATTAAATGAAACTAAGCTGGAAAATGTGAAAAAAACTTAAACTGAAATAAAGATAAAAAGCAGTCTCTGGGGTGTTTTTAAAAAAAAATGTTTAGTCTTTGGGGAAATCAAAATGATTACTCATTAGCATCATTAAGAGTGTAAACTAATAAAACATTTTTATTAGTAAATCTTAACTGAGTAAATGTTAAATGCAATATTAAATTAATAAAAAGACAACTTTTGCATTTCAGCCAATGTCAAGACAACATTTAAAAAAAAATAAGTACAACTGCAAACAAATATTAATTAACGAAAACGAATAAAATGTATAAATTGTCTAAAATATATTATAAATGTTTTATTGAAATAAAACTAAGCAGAAAAAAATATATTTTTAGTCTTTGGGGAAATCAAAATGATTACTCATTTTTACTTCAAAAAAATCAAATGATTACTTTAAAAATTGTCACCTTGGGTTCTATCCACATTCTGAATCATTTTGAGATATTGAGCTTCAAAGTTTTTGCATTCCACATAGCAAACCAATGCTATCTTTATTTTATTTTTTTAAATAAAAAGTCTTAAAATGTAAACAACTTATATAAAAAAACATCCCATAAAGTTGCCATTTAATAAGAATGTGTCAATTTTCAATTTTGACAAAAATGACAGATAGAACCTTATAATTCTAAGGTGATAAATTTTTATTATTATTATTATTAATTACAACTAAATATTAAACTTAACTTCATCTGAAATAGTCTCTGCGGTGTTCCCTTTTTAAAATGTACATATTGGTACCTAAAGTGCATCTTTTCAAACGGCACCCAGTGTGTTTATTTCTGAGAGCAATATAAAAATGATCATGTCTATGTAAACCCAGCATATGCGTGTGTGTCTGTGTGTGAGACCTGGTGGCGTGGTCATCCTCTGCCACTGGTGAAACAGGCAGGTCTTCAGGCAGTCTCGGGGACTCAGTCCATATGTCTTATGCCTTGACATGAGCTCCTGCATGGGCTCTAGAATCACACACAACTGCACACAAACAAAAAAATATTCTCACTCCATTGTTCAACACAAATAAATGACCACCCGTAAGAGACAGGGTGTGTAGAAATAGTGTGTATATGTGACATACTCTGAGGTAGTTGAGCGTGAGGTTGGTGAGTCCCACTCGACTGATGTTTTTGGACAGTTGTTCCACAGCTCCAGGGTCTTGTGCCTGACAAAGACACACACACACGCGCGCATACACACACAAACACACAAGTCCATTTATTCTCTCTTATTTTGTGCTCCATCCAGAGCTCTAATTCATTATAGGATATGTTTCCATAGCAACATCCTGACAGCTTAGCTAAAAGGTTTGGATGCTTTCACCTTGATTGATAAAAAAAGGGCTGAAATGCATTTTGTTATACTATAACCTGCTACCTGTGAATGCATCGGAAAAATACCTGTGTTTGCAAGCATTCCAAACAAATGCATGTTACATATAACCTACGCATGGTGAAGGAAACCAGATAATAATAATCTAATAATTAGCATTTGTTTTATTTTTGTTAAAGAAAATGATAAAGCTGGAAGAAATAGCTCACCTAAAAATGAACATTTATTCATTCATTCATTCATTCATTCATTTTCTTTTCAGCTTAGTCCCTTTATTCATTAGGGGTTGCCACAGTGGAATGAACCACAAACTTATCCAACATATGTTTTACACAGCGAATGCCCTTCCAGCTGCAACCCAGTACTGGGAAACACCCGCACACACACACACTCATTTACACATATACACTACAGCCAATTTATTTTATTTAATTCACCTATAGCGTTAGTTTTTGGAATGGGGGAAACTAGAGCACTTAGAGGAAACTCACGCTAACACGGGGAGAACATGAAAAACCCCATAGAGAAATGCCAACTGAACCAGCCGGGACTCGAACCAGCAACCTTCTTGCTGTGAGCCGAAAGTGCTAACCACATCATTTTGCCTCAAAAATGAACATTCTAACATAATTTATTCACCTTCCACATGTTTGATTTTTTGAAGTGTTGAACACAAATGAAGATAAATAATGTTGAAGACTTAACATTATCGAGTTTCACAGACCACAGTGGACTACAGAACAAGCAAAAACAGCGCAAATCTTCACTTTAAGGAAACAATAGAATGGCATTTTGCTCATCTGCAAAAAAACTGCAGGTCAGAATAGTATTGAAGTTATTACAGTGTCAGAAATTACCAAGAACAGTGTATTCATAATAACCATGACTAAGATTATGAGTCACATTAAAAATTTCTGACACAAAGAGAAGGGGATCAAATTAATAGACAAAAAGTAATTGACTGACATTTTACTAAACTTTTATTCTTCCAACATTCATTTATTTGTTTCCTTTTCAGCTTAGTCCCTTTTTTAATCAGTGATCGACACAGCAGAATGAACCACCAACTTACAACATGTACTCAGTATATAAAATGAATCATTCATTCATTCATTTTTTTTCGGCTTAGTCCCTTTATTAATCAAGGGTTGCCACAGGGGAATGAGCCGCCAACTTATCCATCATATATTTTATGCAGCGGAAACCCTTCCAGCTGCAACCCAACACTGGGAAATGCCTATACACTCTTGCATTCACACAGATACACAATGGCCAATTCAGCTTATTCAGTTCACCTATACTGCATGTCTTTGTACTTGTGAGGGAAAGTGGAGCACCCAGAGAATACCCACGTGAACACGGGGAGAACATGCAAACTCCACATGGATATGCCAACTGAACCAGCTGGGGCTCGAACCAGCAACCCACTGCGCCACCGTGACGCCCTGAAATGAATCATTTACTCCTAAAAATAAAAGCTTTAAAGAGAGCTTTTTGCAGTGATGCTATGGAAAAGAATTTGGATTCCCCGAAGAATCTTTCATTGAGCTGTGGTTCAAAATAATCATTTTATTATTAATTAGTGAAAAAGCATTTTGTAATCTAACAAACCTTTTTTCAGCATAAGTAACCTTTTGTGCACTAAAAATGTTTCATAGTCACAAAGGTTCTTTGCTGAATGAGATGCCAATGAAAATGAGTATCAGACCAGTGGCCTTGATGTTATAGCCATGCTGGTTGATTTGCAGTTGATTCAAGTTACAGTACATTCTCTCTTCTCCATATTGTAAAAAAAATACATAAAAAGTATATAAATATAATTTGTTATAAAATGTTTAAATGTTGGCAGCGCAGTGGCGCAGTGGGTAGCACTGTTGCCTCATAGCAAGAAGGTTGCTGGTTTGAGCCTCGACTGGGTCAGTTAGCATTTCTGTGTGGAGTTTGCATGTTCTCCCTGTGTTGGCTTGGGTTTCCTCCACAGGTTTTCCGTAGTGTATGTGTGTGTGAATAAGTGTGTATGGGTGTTTCCCAGTGATATGTTGCAGCTGGAAGAGTATCTGCTGCGTAAAGCATGCTGGATAAGTTGGCAGTTCGTTCTACTGTGGCGACCCCTGATTAATAGGGAATAGACCGAAAAGAAAATGAATGAATCAATTAAATTATAATAATGTTTCTCATTACTATCATTCACTTATTTTTGATATAATAGTAACTGATTGTGCAATGTTTAATTTATATTAACATTTAGAGTGCAGTGGTTTCCAGTTATCACCTTGAAATTGTAGATTTTATATTCAAATTTGGAGTAAAAACTATTTTGGGGATTCTTGGTAGTCCATTTAAAATTTAAACATAATTTGATGGGATTCATTATTCATAACAGTTTGCTCTTTTATACGCTGACAATTTTGACCAAAGAAGAAGAATATCCAGCTTGTGTATGATCTAGTATCAGATGTATTCGGGAATTTTTTTTTGATTCACGTGAAAAGTAACTCACATTAACAGCCAAGACACTGCGAGGAATGAGTTCACTGTAATGCGTAATGGTGAAGTGCCATGTTTTGATTCTCATCAGGTCATCAAAGGTGAACACAAGAATCAGTCGACCTTCTGTACACACCTGTGAAAGAAAGAAAAAACAGGATAAGGATTAGAAGACTGTTCCCTACAACCTTCAGATTGCTTGTCATTCAGTTTCAAAACTTTCATAATATAATAAGACAGATCCACAAACTACATATGGGGCCAGGAAAATATCAAGTAAATTGTTACAAAATTACAAGTAAATTGTCTGTATGTAGATTGTAAAAATTAAATATGAGTGAAATAATATTTCCTTATTAATGTATGCAAACCACAGATTTAAGTAAAAATGAAACAACATGATGAGCATAAGCTTGGAAGTCTCTGAAGCTCTTCCCAAGGTGTTCCCAAGGTGAAGAGTGCAGTTGCGGTCAACCTTTGCATGCAAAATGCTGCCATCTGAGGAATAAGTTCAGAATTGCATCCTATGGGTGTAAGTTATTTGCTTTCCTGAATACCACAGCTTATTCTGCTGGGGGCCTTATCTCCTCTGCCATACATACCATGGTTATCCTACAGGTACACCAAGCCTAGAAAGGTTCATGCACAACTTGCAAAGAGCAACTGACTTCACAAAGGTCACTGCATGCTCCTTAGATCAAGTAACTATGATGGTCCAAGAATGTCACCTCTTGCTAAACCTGGCCAATATAAATGATGTAAAAACAAAACCCTCTTTCTGGACAGTGTTTTTGTGACATTGTCAGAGTCTTGTAGGAGTTCCCAATAGTTCTCTGCATCTGTTAGCAAGTTAAGAACGTTGCCACCCAACCTCTGGCTCTTGGTGAACTGTATGCTCGTTGCCTAGAGCAGGGATGTCCAAACTTGGTCCTGGAGGGCCAGATTCCTGGAGAGTTTAACTCCAACCCTAATCAAACACACCTGAATCAGTTAATCAAGCTCTTACTATATATACTAGAAACTTCCTGGCAGGTGTGTTAAAGCAAGTTGGAGCTAAACTCAGCAGGACACCGGCCCTCCAGAACAGAGTTTGGACACCCCTGGCCTAGAGCATACCTTTCTAATTTCAACACATGCTTCAAAGCACCAAGCCAATAACACAAAGCAGCTTCACAACAGCTGCATCAATCTTCCTGTAGAAAAGAGATATGCCTATCGTGCCCTTGAGACGAGCCACCCATAGTCAGAAGAGACTGCCCCTTCCCAGTGGAGGACCAGGGGGAGCATGTGCAAATCTCACTCTTCCCACATATTCAATCAATTAAAAGTTTTCTGCATGCTCTCTAGATATTGCACCTTGTAGGATGACAGTGTGCGATGCATTGTTTGTTTTGTCAGGAGGCTTTTAGTCGATGGGTCCCTTCCTCTCAAATCTCCAGTCTCTTTGTGTGGCCCTAGGGAGGTAGGTTAGCATTGCACGACATTCTGTGCCCCAAGTTGAGTATTCAAACTTCCTTTCATTTTCCTAGCATACATGTAGGTACATCAGCAACTGTCCTATTGGTGCACTTGCACAAAGTTGTCAAGCCAGGTTAGCACTGTCCAGCAGTATCTCTGGTCCAGTACATAACAGAGACAACTGAGAAAAGAGCAGATTACCCTAATGAAGTAAAACAGCCGCCGGTGCTTGGTCACCTTGTCGGTGTGTCTTACTAATGAGTACACCCAGTCAGTGCTGGCCTCCCAAAACCTATTCTGGGGTTATATATATATTTTCACATGCTACAGGGCATATTGCATCCGCAGCCACAGTGCTTGGATTACTGTAAATAAAACTGCATCAGTCCAGAGATGGTCATAGCATTGCAGCTCACATCAAGTGTGCAGTATGTGCAACCACAACTACATAGGCATATCAAATACATGAAGGTGCTAGCAGTGCTCCTCATTTTGCAACTGTTTCAGATGCTTATGCAGGGTAAGCATGTGTTGGTTAGTAAAGAAAACACACTACTACATTGGTGCTCTTATTGCATGTCTCAGCTTATTTACCATATTTACCCAGTGTAGAAACCCTGGTAAACTTGTTTGTTTCAGCACAATAGTAATGGCACGCAGTTGGGCCTGGGGTTTGTGCTAGTACACAATCTCCCAATTGAGTCTGCTTTGAGACACTGTGCAGGCTCAGGGAGGATGAGGAGCAAGCCTTGTTGTGCCATACTGGCCCACCTGAACTTGGTTCCAAAAACGTTTGCTCCTCGTAACAGCTCCACCTTTGAGGATTCTTCTGAATAAGGTTCTTCATTCTCAGGGATCATCTAGATCTGGATCTTTGGAACTTCCACATATTACTGTATGATGAACAGTAAAGACTTTAGTGGCATACAATGTGCAGTGGTAGACACTATGACAGGCTAGAGTCCGTCTACAAAGAAAGCCTACGCCAGGGGTCACTAAAATTGTTTGTGGAGGGAGTTTCCTGAAAAGTTTAGCTTCAACCATAATTATACATCCAAAAAAAGCTAATCAAGGTCACTTGAACCTTCCAAACCAGTGTTCTAAGTTCTGCAGGGATACTGGCTCTTCAGGACCAAGATTGTTGACCCTTGCCCCATACCCTGAAGTAGAGACGGTTTGTTGAGTAGCTATTTTTTTTTTCGTCAGAGAAGACCCCTGAACTTGCCCCATCAGTTCGGTCAGATTTAAGTAAAAACTTGTCTTATTTTGTACCATCTTGGGATCCCTCCATAGATATAGAGGGAGGAGAGATACTTTCACACCACTCTATTCAGTTGAGCTTAAATATACAGTTATGCCCAAAAGACTTTGTCTCCTGGTTGTGCTGTATTCTATCAAGAGGGTATGGGACTTGTAATGTAATGTGTATTTATATAGCACATTTATTGTGTATGGCCATACACCCGAAGGTCTTCACAATCATGAGGGGGTTCTCTCCACACCTTCATCAGTGTGCAGCATCAATTTGGTTGATGCGATGGCAGCCACAGGACAATGGCACCAATGTGCTCACCACACACTAGTAAAGTGGAGAAACTGTGATACAGCTGTTTTGGTGAATAGAGATGATTTGGAGACTGTGGTCGGTAGGGGCCGGTGGACAAGGACACCAGGGTTTAACACCTCATCCGAAAGACGGCGCTCACTGACAGTGTAGTGTCCCCTTGACTATACTGGGGTGTTAGAACTTGCCCCCTGCTGGCCTCTCCAACACCCCTTCCAACGGCAACCTAGCTTTCTCATGTTGTCTCCCATCCAAGTACTGACCAGACTCAGCCCTTGCCCTGAGTAACTGGTCTTGGGCTGCAGGGTGATATGGTTATGGCACTTGCAAGCATTTACAGTCAGTGTATCATCTCTTGAATTCAGGCAAGCTTACTGTCAAACTGTCATGAGAAATTAAAATAGATAGGTGCCCAAGATTCTCACCATTGTTTTTCTCTTTTTCATGATCAGGTGGCGAACCTGCAAACATTGCCCTCTAAGTAGACAAACACAGACTTTGTTTTGTTGTATCCTATTTGCACCCTGCACCTTTACATTGGCCTTACCCAGAACTTTAGATGCTGTGAGTAGCTCCTTTTCAGTTTCTGAGGTCAAAGAAAGGGAAGAGCTGTCTCCAAACAGAGGCTCACTAGATCATGAATGCCATAATTTGGGTCTACCACCATGCCAAGCCGTGAGGGTGAGAGCTTAATCTTTCAGGTTTGTCTTTAATAAACAACAGTAGAACTGTAAGCTGGGCAACACCTAACACATTTGTGTGATTCTGCAGTCTCAGAGTGAAGCTAGTCTTATCCAGTGTATTGGATAATAACAGGTAACTGGTTTGCTCAGTATCATGCCTGCTGTTCAATTTCTCTCTCACCTGGAGATGTTTGCACTTGTATATTCTGCTCTTCTAGTGAGTATCCTCGGCAGTAGTCAATATGCATTTTGGCAAATTTTCTCCCCAACAGGTAGTATATCAGGTCTCCACAGAATCCTTCCAATTCTAAAAGGAATGCTTTACCTACACACTATTGATGAATAGCTAGGTAAACTACATAAAAAATTGTACACATTTAAATTTTTTTAACATTCCTAAATTTAGGCGACACAGTGGCTCAGTGCTTAGCACTGTCGTCTCACAGCAAGAAGCTCACTGGTTTGAGTCCTGGTTGGGTCAGTTGGCATTTCTGTGTGGAGTTTGCATGTTCCCCTCGTGGGTTTCCTCCGGTTGCTCCTATTTCCCCCACAGTCCAAAGACATGCGCTATAGGTGAATTGAATAAACTAAATTAGCCGAAGTGTATGGGTGTGGATGAGTGTGTATGGGTGTTTCCCAGTGATGGGTTGCAGCTGGAAGGGCATCCGCTGTGTAAAACATATGCTGAATAAGTTGACGGTTCATTCCGTGTGGCGACCCCAGATAAATAAAGGGGCTAAGCCAAAGGAAAATGAATGAATTAATACATTCCCAAATTTGGTAATTTTGGGTTCCAGTGGACATTGGATTGGATGATTATGCATTGGATGATGCTTGTCTGCTCATGCTTACACTTGACAGCATTGCCATCAAACATGTAACTTGTTATAGTGATTGTGGCCCTTTCCAGTCGTTGTTGGAAGAACTAAAGGTGACCAAGTGAAAGGGAATATTTTTGGTTACAGATGTAACCCCCAGTTCCCTGAAGAAGGGCACAGAGTTGTTATGTCTTAATGACCACAGGCCTCAGCCACCATCTGAATGCTCAGTATAGTACTCAGCTCCTCAGATCAATCCTGAACTAGTGACTTAAATATCTTTATACTTACAGGAATGGCCTCCCATGGAGATTCCACTCTCAAATTTCATTGGCCCTTTTCTATATAATTTAGAGTGATCATTTTCATAAGCACAATCCCCAATTTGACATAATTTTATTTACAATAACATCTCTTTTCTCTCTTTCGGGGAACCAGTGTTACAACTGTAATCTAGATGCTATGCATTATTTTGTAAAATATATATAATAGTCATTACTTCTGCAGAAATACATATAAAAGCAAGTATTTACAAAATTATTACGCTTTAATTATGTTTTTATTCTTGAAAACAAATTGTTGTCTTTTACCCACAGAAATAATCTTGCCGTCATCATTTTAATTGTACATTCTAAGATCATAACACCAACTTGACTGGTGAAAAACACGCAGGAGAATTACTTCTAACTACTTTTTGTGTTTCATTAATTTAGAACAAATCAAATTATACGGCTCTCTCATTAAAGCAGTATTTTCAGCTCAAGCAGGATTCTGTGTGGAACTCTGAACCCCAACATTCTGTTGCCGGGGGAACGGAGGGTAGCTGCAAGGTTGGCATAGCAACGGGAGGGATGTAATCCCAGCAGACACGCTCTGATCAATGCCTCCAGTACACACACACACACACACACACACACACACACACTTGGGAACTGTATCTGTATAACTTAGCTACAACATACAGTCTTCCAAATCAATATTTAATTCACAAATGTTCATTTACTAAAAAGCAAAGTTGGACAAAACTCCGTCCCTCTAATTGACATTTGAGAGATTCTGGATCGTACAGTGGCGTACCATATGAATATTGCATAGGACATTCAGGAAATCATGCATTAGGCAGTTATATTATTATTATTATTTTTTTAGCTTTGGGAATAAAGTATTTGTGTCATTACAGAACTACAGAAAGAGCCATTTCTGAACAGAACTCACAATAAATTAGAGTTCAGATTTTTCTACTAAGGTTTTCCCAAAATTTTAAAGCATAAACCTGTATGAAGGGAAAAAAAAGAAGCAGTTTTTGTGTATGAGAGAGGGAAGCAGAATAAGGGAGGGAGGGTGAGAGAGAGAGAGAGAGAGAGAGAGAGAGAGAGAGAAAGCCGAGAAAAAGCAAGAGCAGGAGGGAGAGAGTGGGGGTTATATTTTCCTTTTTTGTTTTGTGCAGTTCCAGCCCAGAATTCACAATGAGGAATACATTAGTGCTCGAAATGAGGAAGCAAAGACTGACTGAGCCAGACTTGTGCGTGCAGAAGCAGTACCTTAGTGAATGTAGGTTTGCCATGTTGTGTTGTCATAGTACAGTGATGAGAGTCGACGGTAATAGTTGAGTTGTTGAACGACTCCTTTGTTTGTTTCAGCTCAAAAAACAACTCATAGACTCCTCCTTCGAAGAGCGAACTGAAGTAACGAGGGATCAGGGTGCGCCCGATGGCTGGGGAAGAAGGAACGAGAGTGTGAGAAACATATGTGGAGAGTGATTTTACATGCTGAAGATGTCAGTTGTGTTTGCTGATTAACAAACTAAAGAAAAGAAGGATGCAGACTCAATGCAATTCATTTATTTATGACCATATGATGAAAGACACTCAAAGTTAGGAGGCACACTGGACTGAACACCTGAACTGGCAACTGCGAATGTGTGTATTTGTGTGTCTGTGTGTGTGTGTGGTCCCTTAAGAGTTCGAAACAAACAGGCTACTGAATGCCGCAGGCATTAAGTCCAGCAGGCTGTTCGTGCGCTCAGAACAGTTAGTGCTCTGGAGCTGTCAATCACTGCAGGAGAGGTGTGTGAAGTCTGCAGGCCCATATTTATTTGAACACCCCAGACCTGTCAATCAAATCTCAGCACATACACAGTGAATAAGGAATGAATGAGAATGAGTGAAATCCAGCAACTCAAGTGAAATATAAGTATAAATACGATAAAATCGATCTAAATTCACACTCTAGAAAGAGAGTGAGAGATAAAAAGTGTATATTTTTTTACAGATCAAATTTATTTAGCATAAAGTATGCTCTTAATGATTTCTAAAAGTGCACACATGCTCACAGATCTCATTTGTTAGATTTTTAATAAGTAATCGTTGTTATGATCCAGAGTTGGTTGATTTTATTGTATTTTGATGTTTACAAAATCATCTGATGCATAAACTCAAGGATGTAGCTGGCAAATGCCTTAAAAAATTCAAAGAAGCCTGTGTATTATTGAAATTTAATGATAAAATGTATTTTATTTAATATAATAAATGAATTACTCGTAAACATCATGATGTTTTTTTGCACCACATGAGATTTTACAACCTAAACTGAACTTGATTGTCATAAAAGGACAAAATAGTTGAGATTCTAAGTCTTTTTGAGCATCTTTCTATAATACCGTTTCCTCTTTTATGTTTTTATTATGCATGTTGTCACTGCAAATATCAAACACAGCTGCCTGAAAACAAATCATAAAATGTTATGCTAAAGAATTTTATTCTTTTTATTCTAAATGATTTATGATTTGTGCCATAATCAAATTTTGTAAACTCAATTCCTATTTTAATTTAGAAAAATAGACAAGAATCTGATCAACGACCAAGCCAGATATTTCAAATATTTTTGGGAGCAAAAGTAAAATCAGAATAACGTATCACTGAAACACAAATTCTGAACCACCAAAATTTGAATATTGTGGTGGGGGAAGGGGGTCCCCGTCTGGAGTGCTTATGACTCTGCACACACTTACTGTACGTCTTGGGTCCCTCCTCGAGGCAGAACGAGAGTGTGAGCGTGGCATCTTCCTCAAAGAACTCGGTGCAGAAAGCATCCCACCACAGAATATCACAGTCCTGTGGGATCACACATTAACACACTTTTAACACTGAGGAGAACCACAGAAGTGCTTGGCCTCTGAATGACCCAGAATGACCATAATTAGGCCTGGCACAGTGATTATCATTTCAAAGCTTGCTGTTTATTATAAACACACACCCAAGTTGACTCGCTCCATTAAGGGCAGCAATTTACACCACAAATCCAGCCAACTACCGCTGGCCTGCTACTGAGATTCAATTGATTGTATTGGACATGATTATGCCAGCAATAAACTGTATTTTGACAGCTGTTATGGTTCAGTCTTCTCGTGTTATACATTGATGGGATAAAATTAACACTCATAAATGCAAGGAAAACTTGGCGTTGGTGAGTATATCAAACACTATTACTTGCCAATTGGCTTGTAACATTTTTTTTTTAACTCTAACAATGCCTGGGAATATGATTTAGTGTGAATATAATTTTGCAAAGACTGTACTGTAATTGTATAAATATGTAATCTGATGAGTGGCACAGCAGTGGGATCTTTTGATGCGAGCAGCTGATGATAACAGTGTTTTCGGCGTCTCGGAGGGGCTCAGTTTGTAGAAAATGATACACATGAACTCCATTTCTGCAAGTGCTGTGAGTCTGAGACACTTATTACATGCATTTGAAAATACGCCAAACATCTTCCAGAGATTGTAATGAGAATGGCTTATAAATTAGTTGTCAACAAAGAAGAAGATTTAATCTGCAGTTTTCTGGCAAAAAAAGGCTCTATATGGTTTTAATTTCTTTTGTTATGTATTTTTTTTTTAATAATTATTATGATTTTTATTATTATTATTATAAATTGATTCTTAAATGCTATAATGTTATTACATATATACAATGATATTCCTTAAATGATTTATTTAATTTCATTTACTTTTAATTAATAAATTAAGACAGAAAAATAATTACTTATATTAATGACAAAAAGTTTTTTTTTTCTTCTGCAATTCCCCGCTACAATCTTTTAATTAAATAATGCATGTACAGTTTTATGGTCTGCATATATATATATATATATATATATATATATATATATATAAAACACACATACATACATACATACATACATACACAAGTCAGAATTATTAGCCTCCCTGTTTATTTTTCCCTATATATTTTTTTCAGCTAATTTTTTTCAACATATTAGTTTGAATAACTCATTTCTAATAACTGATTTATTTGATCTTTGCCATGATGACAGTAAACAATATTTTTTACTAGATATTTTTCAAGACACTATTCAGTTTAGTAACATTTAAAGGCTTAACTAGCCATTATATATATATAATGATTTTTAAAAAATGCAAAACTGCTTTTATTCTGACCGAAATAAAACAAATAAGACTTTCTCCAAAATATTATCGGACATACTGTGAAAATTTCCTTCTTTTGGGAAATATTAAAAACATAAAGAAAATCAAAGGGGGGCTAATAATTCTATATATATTCTATATTTATTTATATATTTATTGCATATAATCATTTTTATACATTCATACATTATACATTAATCATTATATATACACCATTTTCCCCCCAAAAAACATCTTTCTAAATTTCTAGGGGTACAACCAAAATAATCCATAAATCCATGCATACATACAATGAAAAAGTTTATTAGTTGTTTTTTTTTTATTACAAACTAAGTTATGTGTAATAAAATGAAACGCACACTTTAAAAAATATTGAACAAGTGAAGAAAGGGAGGCATTAAATGCAAGGAAAGCTCAGACAGCAGCTGCAATCTCTCTCTTAGAAAACAGCCCTCCATCACGCAATATTAGCTGCTTCAGTCCCAATAGCCACATTACTAGGATGATGAAGTTAAAACCATGGTAAACATTTCAGCAAAACGATCCCAAACACAGTGAAGGAAACTCTCAGTTAGTTTCAGAAAAGAAAATAAAGTGGCTACAATGGCCCAGACAATCACCTGACCTGAACCCAATAAAAATTAAGAATTAAAGATCAGAGTTGATGGATGAACCTACAGAACCGTTCAAAAAATCACACCTGGGCAAAGCATATGACTCATCTTGAAGCTGTCATTAAAAAAAGGCTTTATACAAAGTATTGACATATATTTCAGTACTTCAGCACCTTCTCCTTGTGTCATTCCATTGTTATCACATATAAATAATGTTTAACATTTTTATTTATTTTATTTTGGTCTATTTGTATGTTTGTATTTTTATCAAAATTTAAATTTCACTTCAACAGCTCCTTTAGAAATATAATTATCAGGACACATCATGACACATTTAGTACTTATTTATGCAGTAAATTTACTCAAGTGACAAACCAATGTTGGTTTTAGTCCTTGTAAGAGAGAGTTATTATCAGGATTGTTTCTATAGGTCATCATTCCAACAGTTCAGCTTCTCTTAGCGCAAGCTGTCAAATTATTATGACTCCAGGTGTGCTGAACAGCATTTCATACCTCTGCAGTTACACTTCATTCTGCGGATTCACTTATTCACATTGTTTTTTTTTTTCTCAGTGGAGGCAATATTTTAAAAGTCCAATTTATTGTGGCTGATTTTTGCACACACACACACACTGCAGGCATGAGAAGAAGAAAATATTACCATGCTTGCACTGCAGTTCCTGCTACTGAGGGAGAGGAATTATATTATTTTTAAAATATATATCATGGTACAGCAATGCTAGTCACACTGCATTGTCTGTTTTCTGTCCTATGGAGAGCCCTATAATAAATCACACTTCCACATAAACCTTAAAGAACATCAAACCGAGGTTTGTGTTCCTAAAAAACCACCACATAATCAATAGTGCATTTGGTATTTCACCCAAACAGTGCAAAGAAATAATGTGGTGTGTGTGAGCGTGCAGTATGTGAAAGTCCTTGAATAAGTTCAGTTTGTAACTGGAGAGAATGGCGACACAAACACTGTACTTATATGTAAGAAATTGTTTAATTTAGTCAGACATTTTTTACGTTAGGCAATCTTTTTATTTAAAATAAAACAATCAAATTAAGTATCATTTGTTATGATGTGTAATCTTTTATAATAAAGATCTGGTAGTGATTGTGTTCAAGAGTGACTTGGTGTGTGATGGTTTGAAATTATAATTTAGTTTTTTGATTGTGATGATTGTGAATTATTATGACATTTGTTTTAGTTTTTAGACATTAGTAGTAGCCACTAACTTTAAATTAATTTTAAAAAGATGTTAAAACAGCTTACTCCTTGTTTGGTGATGACACATCAGATCAAAAAGAATGTTTTTAATGATATACATTGTGATCTTTTGTTAGCTCTGCTATCCTGAAAGATGTGCCTTGTTGTTCACTTCTTATTTCCATCATAACCATTAGATTCATCTTTATTAAATTTGAACAAGACTTCTCGGAAACGTAATGAAAATAGCAGCAGTACCTGGAACATAATTTAATATCATTACACGCATAAATTGAAAACAAGTCTATATTCAAAACTATCCAAATTATGCCAAATTCTCACTTTTAGTATCTTAAAGTAATTGAAAAAATCCTTTATTATCTTTGGAAAAGTTATCTTTATATACTGCGTAAAAGCTGTAAAGTAATATTTAAAATGAATGTTTAAAGGTTGAGGGATTTACTTTACACTTCATTAAAACATTAATAAAATGTTAAATGTAAATTCTTGATAATTTACTGATTTTTATTTTGTATAATCACTCACCTCAGGCCGGGACTGGAGCCGTTTGTTGAGCTCGTGCATCCGGTACTCTGGCTGCACCGGGTATGGCGCGTGTCTCCGGTAAAACGGACCGAACGGAGAGGAGTAAAAGGGGTCGCGCGGCGCGCCGGTCATGGTTTCTGTTACCGACAGCGCGCGAGGAGCGCATCCACACGCCGCACGTGGAGCACGACGATCGTAAACATACACACGCGCGCGCGCTCGCGGACACACGGAGAGATGCGACTGTCAAATCACACGCGCGCTCTGCTGTGAGAGGAGAGAAGAGCATGGGAGAAGGAGAGGGGGAGGAAGAGGAGGAGGAGGAGGACTTCACCGGGGAGGGGGAGCAGAAGAGGGAGGGGTAGAGAGAGAGAGTGAGAGGGAGAGAAGCTTCTGTAAATTGGAGGGTCTTTCCTTACAGTAGAGTCTGACAAGTTGGCCAATTAGAGCAAAATTATATCCATTCACTGTTTGCTTACATTATTAGATAAAATCCTCAATACATCTAATCAACAACCACTGCGGTAGCCTACATATGCTATTGTAGTAGATAGTATAGTTTGCTCATGTAAAATGAATTGCACGCAGCATTGCACATATTTAATGCAGAACTGCAACTACAGTGTGTGTGAGCGCGCGCGTGTGTGCGCGCGCGCTTTCTACTTGTATTTTTCCATTTCTTTCTTTATGACTCACACAAGAGACTTGCTCTCCCACATATATACAGACACACACACATTCTCTGTTTCTCCATTTCACACCATTTCACATAGTTTGGAGACATTTTTTTAAGAATTCAGTCTTTATTTGCATTTTTTATATTCAATAAAAGTCTTACATAATGAGAGAGAGATAGGGCAGACAGGACATTCAGTGAGAGAGAGAGAGAGAGAGAGAGAGAGAGAGAGAGAGAGAGAGAGAGAGAGAGAGAGAGAGAGAGACCATATGGATTCTATTACTCTCTTGTTTTAGGAGGGAAAGTAGGGCCCCAAAAGTTCACCTCCTTTACTTCACTTTCTTTTTTCCTTCTCAGTCTTGCTTTCTCATGGCCAAAACCAAGACACTCCCTTTTTTTTTTTTTTACAAAACAGTGTAGAGTAACACGTAGGCTACACACACACACACACACACACACACACACACACACACACACACACACACACACACACACACACACACACACACACACACACACACACACACACACACACACACACACATTAATACACAGAGTGCCTGTTGCTTCATTTATGCTTGTGTGATTGATGGTTCAATGCTCATGTGGCAAAGCAGGTATACCAGTAAAGAGGATCACACACATGCGAGCGCGCGCACACACACACACACACACACACCCCTCCCCCTGCAGGTCAGTTAATAAGAGTGGTTGCTGGGCTCTTTGTGTGCGTTGTGTCTCATGGGGAAAGGCGAGAGGGAGAGGGGGGTCTGAAGGAATGGAATTCAGCCACTCCACCGCTGTACAAATGCAGAGAGCGAGAGCGCGCGGGATAATGAGAGGACTCTCTATCTATCCATGTCTTTGTGTTTATCAATTTTCCTCCTGTCTCTATGGTGACTTGATCAAAGATGACCACAAGATGTCACTCTCTGATTTCCCTTCCGTTAATAGCGAACGGCAGGAGGATTGAGAGGGCCAAGGACAAATTTCTTGACATGGAAAGCAGATATATCTTGTTTAAAAATATGGTATTATTATTATTATTATTATTATTATTAATAATAATAATAATAATAATAATAATAATAATAATAATATTTCTCAGTACTGGGTTGTGGCTGGAAGGGCATCTGCTGTGTAAAACATATGCTGGAGTTTACAATTCATTTCATTGTGGGGAACCCTGATAAAGCCAAAGTAAAATGAATGAATGAATAATAATAATAATAATAATAATAATAACACTGATGATGATGATAATAATAATAATAATGATAATAATAATAATAATAATAATAATAATAATAATAATAATAATAATAATAATAATAATAATAATGTTATTTAACATTTTAAACGTAACACAACTATTTTAGAATATTTCATTTTGTTTTTTGTCTATGGGGTTCACACTGAAATATGAAAATCTATCATCATTAGTAACTAGAAATAAAAACATTTTAGGTTATTTTTAAAAGTAAGAGATGTTATGATCTAAAACTGAAATAAAATATTTAAGGTTCTGCATAATTTCTAGCTTCCCTGTGTGATTTCCTTGCAGCAAAGACACTCAGAACATGATCTTAGGGGTTTGTATTGTGTAGTTTGTGCAGCTTAAGTGCATTAAACATATAGATGAAATACCAAGAAAAATTGTAAAAAAATTTTTTTTTAAATTTTATAATTTTCCGTATAAAAAGTGTTGAATGCAGAACTGTAGCAAACAATTTATTTGTGTTGAATTTTAACAATCAAATTAAATTGAATAATGTTCAACTTAATGTGTTTGTTTAAAATCAACACAATTAAATTGTTTACAACCACTTAACATAATAAAATTGAGTAAATCCAAGGAATCATCTTTGAATATTTTTTTTCAGTGTACAATGTTTAAGTCTGATTATTAGTACATTACTACACACATATTATTAATTAAATGCAATTATACATGTTAAAATCCATAAAATAGAGCACATGGTAGTGAATTCATTTGAAGGAATGTTTCAAGATGGCAAAAAAAAAAAAAAAAATATATATATATATATATATATATGGCAAAAAAAGAAATAAAAAGTTTGTAGGTAAGCCGGATATCTGGTGAGATGAAGATCATAACAAATGTTACTGAATCTTGCTCATCAGTTAGAGTAGACATTCTCATTCTCTCTCTCTCTCTCTCTCTCTCTCTCTCTCTCTGTGTTTATGTGACTTGCTAAAGTAATTCCACTAAGTAGATTTTGTGTGCGTGTGTTTTCTCTGTAATTACTGCATGTATTCACTCCGAACATACTCTTATGCATCTATACTGTATGTAATCAAAGTGAAAGAAAAATGGAGATGGAGTGAGTCAGAAAGAGAGAGAGAGAGAGGGGGGGGGGGAGATCCACATGGATTTTATTGTTGAATCCTTTGATTAAATATTAATGCAACTTCAGATTCTCTAAAAATAATCTGCAGACACTACAATATAGGAGCGAGCGCTCGTGCACACACACACACACACACACACACACACACACACACACACACACACACACACACACACACACACACACACACACACACACACATATATATATATATATATATGCAGGGTATCGTGAAGAAACTCACCAATCATTTTAGACAGAACAAAAATAGTGTAAATTGTCTAGTGTATAGCAACAATTGTACAAAAATGCAGTAAAAACGCTTTACTTTAATACTTTTACTTCTCCAGTTACTAATATAGGCACACAGAAACCAAGCCCTTGCAGAAAACCTGTTTGCAGTTTTAGCAGTTTTAATATTTTTTCCTGCATGTGAACCAAAGTCCAGACTCCACATCAAAATTGTGGAGATTTGGCATGTTGCGACAATGTTTGCACAAATATACATGCATACACCCACACACATCACAGAATATTGATTAATACTAGGCTCATATTAATTCAAATTAATAATAATAAAGGTTTGATTGTATTTGAAAACAGCATTAAATCACACATTTGTTGAAAAGTATACATTAATGAATATTATGAAATGAGTTTTGAAAAACTGTTGAAATGAACTATTACTATTTAGAAAATCTGTTCAAAAAAGCCCTATTGCAGTATCTATTAACCCGTTGATAGGGTTATGCTGTGGTTTAGCAAGGCTGTCCATCATCAACAAAAAAATGTAAATGTATGGTAATAAATATTTACATACATACATGTATAGAAATGTATATAAGGTAAAAATTGCAGCACACATTATTCATGTACTCAAGAGTAATACAAACACAACTTCAGCTTTGCTTGCTGGATGCTCCCACTATTCACTATTCTTTAGATGTGACGTTGCCGTAGCAACCTCAACTCAGTGACCTCGTTCTTTCAGCTCTGAAATTATGGGCTGCCCAGCCCGATAACAGGCACAGAGAAAGAGCGAGAGAGAAATATTTTTTTTCTAGATTCTAGTTTTTTTTCTGTATGTTCACAGTTGCTGCAATACAATGACATACTTTCACTTCTGAAATGATGAAACACTCCTTTCATTATAAATCACCCACAAATTTCATGAATGAATCTCTGATTTGACTGACTGCATTAATTAATTGATACAAGTGCAAGAAGTGTATTGAAATGCAGCTAAAGTACTGCACAGCAGAAAATAAATACTACCTATGTAAATAATGATTGAGTAAAATGGCCATAGATAGATAGATAGATAGATAGATAGATAGATAGATAGATAGATAGATAGATAGATAGATAGATAGATAGATAGATAGATAGATTTTATCTTCCAGTATTAGCAGTTAAAGATAACATTTCAGTCATTTTGTTCTCAAGTGTCACCTAATTAATATGTTGAGAGTCTACTGATTTTGCAGATAACTGATGTTTATCCTTAAACTACAATGGTTTCTAAAGTGGTTAGTTCACCCAAAAATGAAAATGATGTTATTAATTACTTACTTTCATGTCATTCCAAACTGCTAAAAAAAGGTGGTGGTGGTGGTGGTGGTGGTGGGCCTTTAATAATTTGCTCTCATTTGTATCTTAAATAATATTAATAATTACATTAATAGTTAACTTAAATAGCAATTTGACCACCCCTGTAATGGTCCATACCATTGTGAATGCATGTTTGCATAAAAAAAACTCATTGAGCGGTTTGAAACCAGCAAATCTTGAGTACCACATACAGAATAAGTGCATTTGTACTGTGGGTGTCCGTAAAAAGAGATGCATAGTTTGTATTGTATAATACGCTTGCTTGCACATGGAAGTTAATGCAGTCTTTTATTGTTATCCATTAATAGGCTTATTGAATATCATAAACCACTCAATATACCTTAAAACACTGAAAACATTATACGTTTGATTAATCAGGGTTTCTGCAGGTTTCACCAAGTTAAATTTAAGACTTTCCAAGACATTTTTAAGATCAATATGAATAAAACTTTAGACTCATATAGGGCTAAACGCAAAGGAGTTTTTTCTAATGACCCTGACGGAAAAGATTTTTATTTGCTCTATCAAAAAAATATATAATTTAATACAATTAAAAATATGATTATAATTTAATAATAAAAATATATTTTGGATTTTTTTTTTTTCATTTTT